TGAGAGGCGGGACCAAAGAGCCAGAGCTCAACCCCCGCAAGCACAACTAGACGAGTACAACTATGCGAGTACATCTAGGTGAGAAGAGTAATGTGGTCGTGAGGTACACCTCCCACAAGCCCGGATAGCTCAGTCGGTAGAGCATTAGGCTTTTAACCTAAGGGTCCAGGGTTCAAGTCCCTGTTCGGGCGAATTGTTTTCTCAGTCCAACTTGTTGACTCGTTAAAGCCTTAGGTTAAGGTTTATAAAGTACACGAGAATGACATAGAAGGCCTAGTGGCTGAGTGGACAGCGCTTTGGATTTGTAATCCTAGGGACTGGGGATCGATCCCCGGTAGAAACAAATGGGCAGAAATTCTTTCACCCTGATGCCCCTGTTCACCTAGCAGTAAATAGGTACTTGGAAGTTAGACAGCTGCTACGCGCTACTTCCCGGGTTGTACTCACCTAGTTGTGCTTGCGGGGTTGAGCGCTGGCTCTTTGGTCCCGCCTCTCAACTGTCAATCAACTGGTGTACAGGTTCCTGAGCCTACTGGGCTCTATCATATCTACATTATAAACTGTGTATGGAGTCAGCCTCCACCACATCACTGCCTAATGCATTCCACCTGTTAACTACTCTGGCACTGAAAAAGTTCTTTCTAACGTCCCTGTGGCTCATGTGGGTACTCAGTCTCCACCTGTGTCCCCTTGTTCGCGTACCACCAATGTTAAAGAGTTTATCTTTATCTGAGAATTTTGTAGGTAGTGGTCATGTCTCCCCTTACTCTTCTGTCTTCCAGTGTCATGAGGTACATTTCACGCAGCCTTTCCTCATAACTCATGCCTCTTAGTTCTGGGACTAGTCTAGTGGCATATCTCTGAACTTTTTCAAGCTTCGTTTTGTGCTTGACAAGGTACGGGCTCCATGCTGGGGCCGCATACTCCAGGATTGGTCTTACATATGTGGTGTACAAGGTTCTGAATGATTCCTTAGACAGGTTCCTGAAGGCTGTTCTGATGTTAGCCAGCCTCGCATATGCCGCAGACGTTATTCTCTTTATGTGGGCTTCAGGAGACAGGTTTGGTGTGATATCAACTTCTAAATCTTTCTCTCTGTCCGTTTCATGGGAGGACTTCATGATGTCATTCGGTATCCTGTCTGGCCTGTTTCCATCACCTAGTCTCATTACCTTGCATTTACTCAGGTTGAACTTTAGTAGCCATTTGTTGGACCATATATTCGGTTTGTCTAGGTCAACTTGTAGCCTCATACTATCTTCCTCCGTCTTTATCCTCCTCATAATTTTTGCATCATCAGCAAACAATGAGAGGAACGATTCTATACCCTCTGGGAGATCACTTACATACATCAGAAACATTATAAGTCCAAGGATTAAACCCTGCGGGACTTCACTAGTGATGCCTCGCCAATCTGAGGCCTCACCCCTCACAGTGACTTGCTGTCTTGTTACTTAGGTACTCCCTTATCCAATGGAGTACCTTCCCTTTCACTCCTGCCTGCATCTCCAGCTTTTGCAGTAGCCTCTTGTGTGGTACTGTGTCAAAGGCTTTTTGGCAATTCAAAAATATGCAATCTGCCCACCCCGGTCTCTTTCTTGCCTGATTGTAGAATTCAATTAATCCTGTGAGTCATGATTTGCTATCCCTGAACCTATGTTGGTGTTGTGTCACAAAGTTCCTTTGCTCCAGATGTTTCACTAGCCTTTTTTTCACACAATCTTCTCCATCATCTTGCATGGTATGCAAGTTAGGGACTCTGGCGTGTAGTTCAGTGCCTCTTGCCTGTCACCCTTCTTGTATATCGGACTACATTTGCCATCGTCCAAATGCTTGGCAGTTCATCTGTTACCAGTGATTTGTTATACACCACGGAGAGTGGCAAACACAATGCTTCTGCTCCTTCCTGTAGTATCCATTGTATATTCCGTCTGGGCCTATAGCCTTTGTCACATCTAGCTCTAGCAAAAGCTTCCTTTCATCTCCGCTGGTAATCCCAAATTCCTCTAGTGGTGCCTGGTTAACTATTCCTTCTCTTATCTCTGGAACTTCTCCTTGCTCTAACCTCCTGGAATTTCTTATTGAGTTCCTCACATACTTCCTTGTCATTTGTTGTGACTGTCTGCCTTTATCCTCTGTTCCATTACCCGTTCCTCCACTGCTGTTTTATTCCTGATGTGGCTGTGCAGCAATTTAGGTTGAGTCTTTGCCTTACTTGCCAAGTCGTTTTCGTATTGCCTTTCTGCCTCTCTTCTCACCCTGATGTATTCATTCCTGGCACCCTGGTATCCTTCTCTGCTCTTAAGTGTTCTGTTATTTCTGTAGTTTCTCCACGCTCTTTTACTTAGTTGCTTTGCTAGCTTACATCTCTGATTAAACCATGGGTTTCTCATCTGCATTTAATTTTTTCCCTTTTGGACTGGGATAAACTTGTCTGCTGCCTCCTTACACTTCTGCGTGATGTAGTCCATCATGTCTTGGGCCGTCTTTCCCCTGAGCTCTGTTTCCCATTTTATATCTGTTAGGAATTTTCTTATCTCCACATAGTTTCCCTCGTGGAATGCCAGCCTTTTGTTTTCAGGTCCCTTCCTTGAGTTCATTAACCCTTCTTCAACCACATACTTAAACATCAGTACTCTGTGATCGCTCATTCCTACTGGGGCCTCGAGGCCAATTTCCCTTATGCCAGAGTAGTTCAGAGTGATGACTAGGTCGAGTCTCGCTGGTTCATCGTTTCCCCTCTTTCTTGTGAGTTCCCTGACATGCTGGCTTAAAAAGTTTTTTGTTGCCACCTTCAATAGTTCAGCTATGTGTCTTCTCCATGCAGTTCCTTGTTCTCCCAGTCAATCCTTCCATGATTGAAGTCCCCCATGATGAGCAGATGGGATTCAATTCTACAGGCAGACGAGGCTGCCCTCTCAATTATATTGTTAACTGCCATGTTGTTTCTGTCATACTCCTGCCTGGGTCTTCTGTCGTTTGGTGGAGGGTTATATATCACCGCTGCTACTACTACTACCTTGGTCCTTAGTCCTTGGTCCTTACCTTGGTCCTACCTTACTTGGTCCTCCTATCATCATAGTGCCTGTTATGTAGTCTCCAAACACCTCCCAGCCTGGGATAACCATCTCCTTGAAACTCCATTCCTTTCTCATGAGTAGGGCCACTCCGCCTCCTCCCCTACCCTCCCTCTCTTTCCTTGTTACAATGTAGTCTTGGGTAAACACAGCCTTCGTTATAATTCCTGAGTTTTGTTTCCATGAGTCCAATTACACCTTTATTTTTTACTTCCAAATACAATTAGTGTGTGTGTGTGTGTGTGTGTGTGTGTGTTTGTGTGAAAAAACAAATGATTGACATTTGAGAGGCAGGCCAAAAGAGCCAAAGCTCAACTAGGCGAATACAGTTGAGAGACTGGACCGAAGTGCCAAAACTCAACTAGGTGAATACATCAGTGGTAGTAGCGAGCTGAAGGACTAATACTGGCAAATTATATTAATTTGTAATATAATTACCAACATTTTGTTCACCCCCCCCTCCCACTGCAAACATACAATGTAAAGATCCCTACGATTCCCTTGTTGCAACTTGTTAGGTGTTAAACCTTGCAGCACTGTTGTGGGTTTAAAGGCAAATAAAAATAAAGTAGAGTGAGCCCACTCATATTTTATTTATATATACAAGAGTTCTTACATCCTTGTAAGAACTTTATACACTTTTAACAGTAATATATTTTACAATTTAGAGAACAGTACTCAAGTTAATGCTTCTATTGACTAACCATCCTGCGAGATGGGAATATTACGTCAACACACAGCAGTACTCAAGTTAATGCTTTTATTGACTAACCATCCTGCGAGATGGGAATATTACGTCAACACACAGCAGTACTCAAGTTAATGCTTCTATTGACTAACCATCCTGCGAGATGGGAATATTACGTCAACACACAGCTAGTTCTTGACCTTCACTTTGTAATTTCTCAAATAGAGTAAGATAGCAGCACACTGCTGTGTATACCTAAGCTTGGTAATAAATATTGAGCAGCATTTGCCAGTCTTCTGACCATTTGTAGATCTCTGTGAAAGGCTTCAATAATGCATTCACTTCCTACTTTACCACGAGTCTGTTGTGCCATCTGCTAATTTGGTGAAGTGGTTTGTAGCAGTCTCGTCTACGTCATTGATGTATGACAGAAATCATTGGCACAAGATGGACGCTGGCAGAGTCCCACTCTCCATACTTCCCCAGTCAGATTCATTTCTGTTCATGATCTTTTGCATTCTTTGTCTTAACTCTCGTTTATTGTGTGTGCTTGCAATTTCCTTGCCAGTCTTTCTATACAGTATGTTGTTGTTGTTGTTGTTTCAGCTACATGGAACAAAAGTTCCAAGTAGCACGGGCTATGGAGAGCCCACAGTGGCCTTATCTTTCTATATATATCATAATCTATGTGATTCCTGGTGGACTGCCATTTCTTCCAGAGGTTGTCTTTATTGTTAGAGCTTTTTCTACTGCCTTTGACATCTATCTTCTTCCTTTATGTTTCCCTATAACTCTTGGCACATATTTTAACAACTTCAGTGGTGACCTCTGTGAAATTCTCCCCATCATCCCACAGTATCTGGCAAGTTCTCCACATCTGTTCTATGTGCCTTTCTCCATTTATTGAATTATTTCTTCAAAAAATCTTGGTTACACCTGAATCTTCGTCAGATTTCAACTTCTGAACTCCCACCTGCTTTAAAAATTTCGGTCACACCTGAATCTTTGCCAGATTTCAACTCCTGAACTCGCCTCTGCTCTAGACATGTCTTCCTGCTGTGCCATCATGCACTCTCTGCACCAATAAACCAATAATAGCAAAAATAATAGTAATAAGTATTAATTTTATTTGTAATAATAAACAGTATATTTGTGAAGATTTGAAAGATCTATTATACAGCCCATACAGCTGTATTAGCGTAACATTTTAGATAGATGTAAAGCAAAAGGATTACAACTTTTATTTATTTATTTGTATGACATTCATTATGTACAATGTGATGAGTATTATATATATTTTGCAGTTAAAATTAACATTAGGCACTAATATGCAAGATACCAAAAGAAAAAGTTCTATAAATAATGGGGTTTAAACTTGAGACATCTTAACAAAAAAGACAATATAATTTGAACATTATGATTACAATCTTAGTTACCAAAACAGTAGCACAGTACTATATTAAGTGATGATAATGCAGGTACTGTACTGTACTATCTTAATGTATTCAAGGCACAAGTTGTATGAGGGAAATGCCAAGTACAGAGCCAGAACCCAAACATGATGTACAGAGCTGGAACCCAAACATGATGTACAGAGCTGGAACCCAAACATGATGTACAGAGCTGGAACCCAAACACGACGTACAGAGCTGGAACCCAAACATGATGTACAGAGCTGGAACCCAAACACGACGTACAGAGCTGGAACCCAAACATGATGTACAGAGCTGGAACCCAAACATGATGTACAGAGCTGGAATCCAAACATGATGTACAGAGCCGGAACCCAAACACGACGTACAGAGCTGAAACCCAAACACGACGTACAGAGCTAGAACCCAAACACGACGTACAGAGCTGGAACCCAAACACGACGTACAGAGCTGGAACCCAAACACGACGTACAGAGCTGAAACCCAAACACGACGTACAGAGCTGGGATCAATAAAAGTCGCACAAACCTGCGATCTTATTATAGCGTAATAGATATGGTTTAGAGCTACGCCAGCCAGCAGCGTGTGCCAGTTAGGAGGAGCAACACGTCAGACGAACATGCTAAACAGGCGCGTCAAAGGCCAACATTCACCATTTTGCCGACTCTCAATCTTATTATATTTGTGTCTGACAGAAAATGTTCTCATCTTGATTATATTACATCATATATCAAATAACTTTTACAAAAGCCAAGATCGTTCATGTAACATTCTAGGCATATCAACTTATCAATTGATTCCTGTTATACAGTACAGTAACTTCTTATTCTAAGCAGTCATATATATTATTCACAAGAGTGATGATTGAAAAGCATCTTCTTTATATCTTTAGGTCAGTAACAATGATGAAAACATTAAATGTTGAGGGGGTAATTAGCATGTCAGGTATAAACAGCTAGGAGACATTGGTATAAATGGCCAGGAGACGGGGCATAAAGAACTAGTCTCTCAGGTATAAACAGCTAGGCGGTGATGGGATAAGGAGCTGGCTCACACTTCACCAGTCACTGACAGGCAAGCATTGAGACCTGGCCTGCACATGTCTACATCCCACAAACCCCCCCTAATACTTCTTGTTCTATGGGAATAGCCTAGTCATAGTATATCATATACCTGTATTTAACTTTATCATACAAGCCAATAAGCATTCCGTGAGGGTTGCGGGCCGTGTTTGTAACAAGGGTTTGTGGAAGATGTTTTATGTATCCCATTTCTCACATCTATGCCATTTTGTGTGTACAGTATTTGTCATTCTTCACCCACATATATGCCATTTCTCCCCCATTTATATATTTTTTCCACATATATGCCATTTTTAATCCACATACATGCCATTTCTCATCCATATATATGCTATTCTCACTTCCGTATACAGTATGCCATTTTTCATCCACGTATATGCCATTTCTTACTTACATCTATGCCATTTTTCCATGTATTTGTCATCAGTGATCTAATTCAAATGAGATTATGGCCACCAAATACACAAAAACTGGGTTTGCTGCTTTAAAATATTTGATGGAGTCCATAATACAGCATATTCAAGTGTATATGAGGTCAGAAGGAGAGGGAAATACACATTGTACATTATATTTGCAAAGGTGGCTTAAAGCGGCGTAAATCTAGGGACTCGGCTAGCCTCCTTTTTCCGCCACTGATTTTGTGGAGAGCCAACCCTTTGTACTAGCAGCAATAGGGCCAACACAGACCTAACCATGTTGGTCACTTCCCCCTCCCTGTCACCAGTCACCCTGCAAACTCAGGTGAGACTAGCCCAAAATGTCTGGCATAACACCTTAAATGGACAGACAGGCATTCTCTTATAGATATTGATATCTTTATACAGTTTTTGATACTAATGTTCCTTATATACATACAGCACTAACCCCTTTTTTTTTTTTTTTTTACAAAATTTGGGCACTTGAAAATCAAGGCGGAATATGTACAAGATAAATAAAAGCGGCTGAATATCTGTACACGATGAAATCACAAAGTGATACTGTATATTAGGATCTTTGGAGCAGGACAGCGGGATGGAACTGACATCCTGGGTCACCCCAGATCCCATGCACTACTTATGGACCACAATGCGACAAAAGTTACACAACCTTGCTACTCGTATGTCAGGCAGCGAACAATCGTGTCCAACAGCCCAGTTGACCAGACCTTGAGTCCTGGTCAGAGACTGGGCAGTGAGGATGTTGTGCCTCTCAACCATGGCAAGGCGATCGCCAGGTAACGTGGCTGAATTACTTTTCCTGCCACAGGCATGGGTGACATGCTGCACAAATGACCAACCGCACAAGACTACACATTGTATAATAAAGGGACTCCAGAATTTAGTGCAGATATTATCTGAATACAGTTTAACCATATGGGGGGAATCAGAAAATATCCATAGCGAAATTACCTCAGAAAAATACCCCACTGGTTTAACATATGCTGTATTATATACATTTTATTGTAATAATATAGTAACATACACATGTGACAACATAGGACCTGTACTCACAATGGTAGGAGAGGACAACGGCAGGTGAAATAAAGAAGCGAGTTATGAAGAGAGATAAGAACGAAGAGAAAGATTGAAGAAATGGCTTAAAAAGACAACAGGGAGAAACATGACAAATGTTGGAATGACAAACAAGATAGAAAACAGACTGAAGGAGGAAAAGAGAGAACACTATATGAAATTTACACAGGAGAAAAGTCCAGAGAAAGTAAATAACAACTGACCTTTACCAGACCAGAGAAAGGAAGGAGAGATTACAGGGCTCCGCAAGTTGAACGTGTACCGAGACATAAAAGAATGCATGTTAAGGAAGATCACTAATCAAAACACTGGGATATCACTCCTTTCCTCCACCTGTGGTGCATAAATAACAAACCATAACACTGGGCATGAGTACCTCCATCTGTGGTGCATAAATAACAAACCATAACACTGGGCATGAGTACCTCCATCTGTGGTGCATAAACATCTAACAAAATGATAACAACTGTGGATAAAACATTGATGTCTGCCTAAGCCTTCAAACATATACACACAGTACTCAATATCTGTACATATTAAACAAATAAATATGGCTGTGTGCTCTTGTAACGTGTTCACATCGTGACATTTCTTAGAAAAATCATGGGGCCACATATGATTTATTTTTTGTTTTACAAAAACAATATGTACAAGTGAATCTAGACAAAATAATCTTCCTTCAAGGCCAATATTCTCTACATCCCTACTCTTCTACCAGCTTGAGCGAGGTGTGTCTGATGTGATACTGAACACAATCTTGGCTTGTCACGCATCTCTCCACACCAAAATACAACAGGCGTTCTACATTGAGAAAGCAGCTGATCAAGTCAGACAGCTGTTGGTCTGTATTCTGGATTATCCAGGAAAACTTGGGCTCCATACCTGTTGAATAAATGGGGAAAATAATTGTATAAATGCAAGATGACATCACACAAATGGAATGTATCTATGAGAAAATATTTACACTGTACAATGCAGGTTCGATCTTGTGGTACATTCTCAAATTCTCAATATTTATGCCATACGATGCAGGTTCAATCTCATTGTACATTCTCAATATTAATGCTGTATGATGCAGGTTTGATCCCATCGCATGACATCAATATTAATTGTGTATGATACTGGTTCACTATCCTACATCCACTCTATAATGCCGTATGATGTGGGTTCAATCACCCTCATACGTTCTTAATATTAACACTGTAGCGAGTAGATTATCCCAATAATATACTCGCTCCAAATGCTTTGTTAATATTCCTGTCAACCTTTGGAGATGAATGAGGTGAGGCGTTGCCCGGGCATATAAGCAGCAATAGCAAACATTAACCAGAGTCTACTTTCAAGTGTGGTCTAGAGCAGACACTTGCGAGATACTGTACCGACGCTCAGTGAGCTCAACTCACAACAAAGTTTCACCGGTGTACTTCTGTATATTCGACCAAATATATATATATTATCTTAGTGTCTGTGTTTATTTGTCACCATACTTTACGTAACAATAGAACCGTTACATTGGTGACCCCAGAGAGTTTCGACGATACCCAGCCACGATGGACTACAACATGGACTCTCACTGGACCTCCACTGCTGCTGCTTGCTGTGGACCGCAGCCACCTGTCATGGAACGTTGCCAACACCCTCGCCACAGCTATGATTTTCATCGCGATCGTCTCTGCATTTTCATCTACTACGGCTTGCTGCTCCACGATCACTACTCACTCATCTGGCAGCTTCATCAGTAACTACATAATGTGTGATCTACAGCCTGTCCTGCCGACTCTCCGTCGCTGCCAGGGCACTGCTTGTTCTACAGGGGCGCCCACGAAAGCTGCTCTTTCGTCAGATTCATCTACACGTTCACTGCATTCTGATACTCTGCCGACTCAAGCACTTTGCGCAGTACAGGACTTACTGCTTGCGTTTCCGACTCTTCGTCGCCTCCAGGACAATTCAGCTCTAGCAGTGATTACCTCGTTATCCTAACTACATGCCTACATTACATCCTAATGTCCTGGTGCCCGAGCCCATCCGCCCCGGATCTAAATGCTCCACCAGCGACCCAAGAACGCAACAATTATGCACATTCTTCTCTCCTGCTACACCGAGCTTGTCCACACACTGCCTACATCTTTTGGTACCAGACTACAATTTCCACAGTCAACAATGTAGTACTCGGCGTGTACAGTCCTAATCAACCCAAGACGCTACAGCTTCGACACAGAGCAGACAGCAGACTACGACCGCATCGAGCCGCCACGCTCTCGCTCCCCGAGTTTAGACACTCACAATTCTCAATCGAGCCGCCACGCTCTCCCACATAGAGCTCCACGACTCCGGCCTCACTCAGCTCTCTGCTCTGCTCCAGGCTTCGTCTCAACGTCTGCGACACTGCTAAATCCAGAGACACATCCGCCGACTACGCAGTTCACTTTTCGACCCCAATTACCAGCCGCACCACAACCTGATCCTACGACGACGGACGATCCTGTGCGACCTCCCACCCTACGACCCCAGTTAGATGACATCAGCGAAGAGGAGGAAGTTAACTTTGATGGTTATGTAACGCGAGCAGGGCGTACAATTCACCGACCAGCTAAGTTCCTTGATCAAGTATTTTTCCTTTCATCCTCTGGGAGGGGGAGTTCTGTAGCGAGTAGATTATCCCAATAATATACTCGCTCCAAATGCTTTGTTAATATTCCTGTCAACCTTTGGAGATGAATGAGGTGAGGCGTTGCCCGGGCATATAAGCAGCAATAGCAAACATTAACCAGAGTCTACTTTCAAGTGTGGTCTAGAGCAGACACTTGCGAGATACTGTACCGACGCTCAGTGCGCTCAACTCACAACAAAGTTTCACCGGTGTACTTCTGTATATTCGACCAAATATATATATAGTACCTTAGTGTCTGTGTTTATTTGTCACCATACTTTACGTAACAATAGAACCGTTACAACACCATATTATGCAGGTTCAATCCCATTGTGTCTCCTCAATATTAATGCCACATGATGCAGGTTCACAGGTTCAATCCCATCGCATGTCCTCGATATAAACGGTGTACAATGCAGGGTTGATGCCATCTTACCACCTCAACATTTTCTCAATTTCATACATATTCCTCCTTGCAAAAATCGAATGAATATAGAAACTAGATGTGGTTTACTCACATAAGGATGCTGGGGGTCATTTTTTCAGCCCTTCCAGACCCACAACTCTAAATGTACTTACAATTATAATAATACAAAATATAATTCTTTACACTCTCACAAAAAGCCTAAAGGCTGAAAATGTGTACCTGACATATGCCAGGTATGACTGACTAGAAAGTCATTCGTCTAGAGACTAATGACTAATAGCAATCCAAGTCAAACATTATGTGGTAATCTACCAAGCTTGTGCGAGATAAACTAAATACTATGATACTTCCAAGTACTGTATCATTGATTCTCAAATGACCATGTATGGAACCCTCTCTCATCCTTATCCTATATGGAACTCCCAGGAAACATGCAAGAAAAAGTATTATTGTGTAATTATTCACCATCTTACAATGATTTCCCACAAGGACGACTCAACAAACGGGCCTAAAAGCACTCATATTTACTGAAAAATCTTCCTCTTGTGCACAAAGACTTGCACTGCACATTATCACAAAGTAAAGCCTGATGTAAATTACAATATGCCTCTCAAACACTCAAATTCACAACAAATGAGTATTTAAGTTGATCTGAAGACACAGCAGCAGCAGAGGAAGGCAATGATGATGAGCAGACATGGCGAGTTGGCAGAGACGCTTGGTTGATGGTGAACTGTGTACACGGTGTGGTAGGGAACATGGTTGATGGTGAACTGTGTACATGGTGTGGTAGGGAACATGGTTGATGGTGAACTGTGTACACGGTGTGGTAGGGAACACGGTTGATGGTGAACTGTGTACATGGTGTGGTAGGGAACACGGTTGATGGTGAACTGTGTACATGGTGTGGTAGGGAACACGGTTGACGGTGAACTGTGTACATGGTGTGGTAGGGAACATGGTTGATGGTGAACTGTGTACATGGTGTGGTAGGGAACACGGTTGATGGTGAACTGTGTACATGGTGTGGTAGGGAACACGGTTGACGGTGAACTGTGTACATGGTGTGGTAGGGAACATGGTTGATGGTGAACTGTGTACATGGTGTGGTAGGGAACACGGTTGATGGTGAACTGTGTACATGGTGTGGTAGGGAACACGGTTGATGGTGAATCCAATTCCAAGCAAATTCTTACAAGGGGGCATAACACACATTCCCTATCCAGTTATCCAGTTAAATACACACACTGACTAATGATGGGCAGCCGAGTCACGAGCCCTATCTTGAGGTTATCTTGAGATGATTTTGGGGCTTTAAGTGTCCCTGTGGCCCGGTCCTCGACCAGGCCTCCACCCCCAGGAAGCAGCCTGTGACAGCTGACTAACACCCAAGTACTTATTTTACTGGTAGGTCACAGGGGCATAGGGTGAAAGAAACTCTGCCCATTGTTTCTCGCCAGCGCCTGGGATCGAACCCAGGACCACAGGATCACAAGTCCAGTGTGCTGTCCGCTCGGCCGACTGGCTCCCTACACGGCCCTCACCATATTTTATGTATTATATTAAATATTACTACACAATATTATCAATTATCTCGGTAACGCTTCTCAAACGTTAAAAGACCAAACACTAAGTTACGATACTTTAACTTACCCAGTCTACAGAAAATACATGCCAGTGGGCACGATGTCCACGAGTAATGTTAATTTAATGTTGAATTACCACTGATAACGTGGATTCAACATAGAACTAAAGTCACACTTCAATGTTGTGCCCATTGGGCACTGCTCTTAACGTTTATTTGTACCTGCTTAACACTTACCCAAGAATTCCTGTGCGCTGTCACCAGACACATGAAACAAGCAATCATGCTCAGTTTGAGGGTCTTTGAGGACAAGGAAAAGTCTTATAAGAGGAACGACTGTTCCCCGACCTTTCGTTGATGTCGCAGCTCGGTCTTTTGTCGACGGACCTGTCAATGTAAATACAGTGTTGAGTGTTATGAAATGCCCCTTTTTGGGTGGTTCTCAATAGTTCCCTGATACTTAGCTGTTAGACTGCTACCATTATGGATGGTTCCTCACCAGCTCCCCGATATTCAGCTCTTAGACCGATACCTTTTTGGATGGTTCTTATCAGCTCCCTGATACTTAGCTCAGACTGATACCTTTTAGGGTGGTTCTTAGTAGCTCCCAATACTTAGCTCTTAGACTGATACCTTTTTGATTCTCGGTAGCTTCTCAATGTTTAACCCTTAAGACTGCTACCTGGTTCTTACCTTAAGAGGGTTCTGGGAATTCTTCTACTCTCCAAGCCCGGCCTGGGACCACGCTTGACTTGCAAGAGCTTGGTCCAACAGGCCATACTCTAAGATACCTTGGAGTATCTAGCAGGCCCACGTAGCCACTACAGCCTGATTGGTCCGACTCTCCACTTCACTGGCCCTATTCTGCATTTCCTACCATATCGTATCATTTCCAGTACATTATTTTACTGTGTAAATTTAGGATATGACCTTCAAGTATTTTCCATGTATATATTATGTGATTCCTTTTCGTCTCCTTTCCAGAGTACTTCTTGAGAGCTTTGTGACGGTCCCAATAATTTAGGCGTTTTATCGTGTCTATGTGTGCTGTATATGTTCTCTGTATTCCCTCTATTTCAGCACACTCTCCTGCTCTGAAGGAGAAGAGTGAGTATCACACCATATTCTAGGTGGGACAGCACCATATATATTTTGAGTATTGTGGTGGGATCCCTGTATTTGAATGTTCTCGTAATCCATCCTTTCACTTTCCTAGCTGACATTATATTTGCTTGATTATGCATGTCCCTAAAAGTTAGGTCGTCAGACATTATTTCCAGATCCTTTACATGTTGCCTTTCTACTATGGGTAGATCTGATTGTGTCTTGTACAGTGTACTTCATTTAAGGTCTTCATTTTTTCCATACCCATGTACACTAACTGGAATTTATTACTGTTAAACATCATGTTATTTTCTGCTGTTCAAATGAAATCTTTATTAATATTATCGTGCAGTTTTTCAGGGTCTTCAACACAAGTAATTTTTATGCTGATTTTTGCGTCGGCTACAAAAGACGAGAAGAAGCTGTGATTTGTATGTATACATTTATCTGATATGAGAATGAGAAAAAGCAGTGGTGCAAGGACTGTGCCCTGGGGTACAGAGCAGTGGTGCAAGGACTGTGCCCTGGGGTACAGAGCAGTGGTGAAAGGACTGTGCCCTGGGGTACAGAGCAGTGGTGCAAGGGCTGTGCCCTGGGGTACAGAGCAGTGGTGCAAGGACTGTGCCCTGGGGTACAGAGCAGTGGTGCAAGGACTGTGCCCTGGGGTACAGAGCAGTGGTGCAAGGACTGTGCCCTGGGATACAGAGCAGTGGTGCAAGGACTGTGCCCTGGGGTACAGAGCAGTGGTGCAAGGACTGTGCCCTGGGGTACAGAGCAGTGGTGAAAGGACTGTGCCCTGGGGTACAGAGCAGTGGTGAAAGGACTGTGCACTGGGGTACAGCCTTTTTACTGTGCCTAGACACCTAATTTTATTTGACCGTTACTCTTTGCATTTTGTTTGACAGGAATATGAATAGCCATCACCCTACTTTTCTTGTTATTCCAATTAATCTCATTTTATGTGCTATCACTCCGTGGTCACACTTATCAAATGCCTTTTACAAAGTCTGTGTATACCATCTGCTGCCATTCTGCAGTCTCAGTAGTTCCCCAATGCTTAACCCCCAGATCATTCCACTTGCTCCCAAGTGATTGGCTTCTATGCTCTAGTTGCCTAGAGGCAAATTATAGATTTCAAACTCTATTTTCCTTGTTTCTTTAGGTTGTTTTGATGATTAGATTAGGGTTTTTTACTTATATAAAGTATACCCTAAATATATCCCCTCAATCATTATAATTATTATAATTATCCAAATATTATTTTTTTTAGGGAGGGGGGGTATATGTACAACTTTCTAGCATCAAAGTGCTTGGAGTTCTTGCTTACCGGGGACCACGAGCCAGAACCTGGCCCCCTCAGAGAGACACGAGGAGCAATGGCCTATAGAAACCCCCCTGTGGGGGAGTTTCTATAGGCCATTGGGGTACTTTATTGCTCGGTACTTGGTACGGCCAAGTATCGAGCAATAAACGGCACAGCGGAGGTAGATCCCAAGGTGACTTGTAGAAGGTGGCCTCAAGCCCTAAGGGCAGTACTTACAGGGCACCTAGGGAAGGGAACCCTAGGTGCATGCAGCCCGAGTACAGTGGAATACGTCTCCTGGCTCACACACCACCTGTAGATACAGCCTACACCACAAGGCACAGAACCGAAACAAAAAAACGGAGCCAGAGGCACAACTGCACCAGACTTCCATCGGCCAAGAACTATAGGTTGGGTTGCGGGCGGGTGGGTCTGGGGCGCCCCCTTTCCCCTCCCAGGGAGGGGGGGCTTGCACAGAAAGCGGAACGGCATCATGACGATGTCATGCTAGTTTGCTAATTTCCGTCTGGGGAGTTCTGTCCACCTGTTCGGCCTTCGGTCGCAATACAGTAGTTTTACCAGAATAGGGGTTTGTTTTGGGGTGCCTACCTTTCTGGGTGCCTAACCCGGTCGATGGCAGACATAGCTCCCAACCACTGGGGGATCTCTATAGGCCATTGCTCCTCGTGCCTCTCTAGAGGGGGCCAGGTTCTGGCTCGTGGTCCCCGGTAGGCAAGAACTCCATGCGTTGACTGATGCCAGAAAGATATACATATTCATTCAGCCTGGATAGCTCTGGGGAGCTGACGGGGCTCCCCCCAGAAAAACTGGGTCATTGGATAAAACAGACAGGGTTCATTCTCAATTATTTCTAATGAGCAGAAGACCACTGTCGTCAAATTTATCCACCATCACATTAACGCAATGTGTGTGTATTGTTGGCAACACATTATCCACGACTCGTATTATGAAAATATTACTAATCATTAAATGATAATATTCAAAGCCTAATTCTAGATCCTAGCAAGTTGCTTGGATATAATGTTTACCTCCTGTAAGTTGCTGCGAACAAATAAAGCAATCCAGCGTGCATGCCGTCAAATCTTTACGGGAGTGTAAGCTGAGCAGCTGCCAGCAATCCCAGACCTCTCCGCAGGTCTCGCACAGGCCCCACACCCACGTGTGCACACACACTCTCTCTGTAACAAGAAAAGTAACAGTGACCAAATGGTATGAAAGTATCTAATATCCTATTAATTTTACTAACTTAACAATGCCTCGATGACCTTATCAGCATACTCATGTGTTTGTTAATAGCCAGTAATTAATCCCACTACTAAAAATTCATATCAGCCATCAACAGTACTATATGTCTCGCTTCTACAGTGTTGCAGCCGAGCAAAACACCTGAACGGCTCAACTCGGACAGTCCTCATCTTACGATCAATTCACTCTTTAAACCCGACACAATTCATACAAAAATTACGGCATGGATATAAAATGAAATGCACTTTTCTGGGCAGCCTGCAGTAGCCACCTGGTGACACGAGGTTCTGATACCTGCTTGACAGGGTTCTGGGAGATGTTCTACTCTCCAAGCCAGGCTTGACTTTTGAGAGCTTGGTCCACCAGGCTGTTGCTTGGAGCGGCCTGCAGGCTCACATATCCACCACAGCCCGGGTGGATATACCACACATATACACTCTTACATCTTAGACCAGTGAATACCTAACTCCAAATCATAATCACGTTCACTCAAAAAAGTTGAGGGGAGTATGGGGGGAGGATCAAAAAGCAATTAAAAATCAATAAATTGTCTAAAAAGTTCAGGTAAACGTAAACACTAAACTTGATAAGGAAAAAATATGTAGCACTGAATTCCAGGAAACGCCCCTATCTAGTGGGTCCCTCCGGTGACTCGCTGACCTACCTGTCTCGTTAGCACCCCGCCCGGACCTGTTGAATCACCATTGTCTACCAAAGACCAGGACCAGAATATGGCCCCCCCCTCCCCCACTTCCCCAGACCAGCACCAGAATATGGTCCCCCTTCCCCCACGTCCCCAGACCAGGACCAGAATATGGTCCCCCTTCCCCCACGTCCCCAGACCAGCACCAGAATATGGCCCCCCTCCCCCACGTTTCCAGACCAGGACCAGAATATGGTCCCCCTTCCCCCACGTCCCCAGACCAGCACCAGAATATGGTCCCCCTTCCCCCACGTCCCCAGACCAGGACCAGAATATGGTCCCCCTTCCCCCACGTCCCCAGACCAGCACCAGAATATGGTCCCCCTTCCCCCACGTCCCCAGACCAGCACCAGAATATGGTCCCCCTTCCCCCACGTCCCCAGACCAGCACCAGAATATGGCCCCCCCTCCCCCACGTCCCCAGACCAGCACCAGAATATGGTCCCCCCTCCCCCACGTCCCCAGACCAGCACCAGAATATGGTCCCCCTCCCCCACGTCCCCAGACCAGCACCAGAATATGGTCTCCCTCCCCCACGTCCCCACAATAGAGGCAAGAGGAGTCTAGGAATACTTAATCATATCGAGCCCAAAGAATGGCCCACCCCATCCTCCAGAAAGGAAGAGTGCCCCAAAACAACAAACTGTGTAGAAAACATTGACAATCCTGAAAAAAACATGGAGAGCAATAGCTCCTGTGCCACTCTAGAGACCTGGTAGCAGTTTACAAGTCTCTGTGGTACCATAACTTTTTTTGTAACACAGGTGAGTACAGGAGCAGATGACTTCTGACTCCTGTTAGCAGGTTGAGAGCTTTTCCTTCCCCATAGCTTATGGTAAGCCCTACCCTACTAGTTTACCCTAGAATAAGACCTGCCAATCGGTTAACAACCAGGTACCGTATTACTGCATGGTGAACAGAGGCAAACACTTAAGGAGTGGTGCCTAGACAATCCTCTCTGGCAGTTACTACAAGGCCAGTTTAGAAAACATTTATCCGCATGAAACAAAAAGTTCAACTCATTATCTAAACGTACCATTCTTGCAGTTGGTGCACTTTTTCGATGCTAAATACTGCAAGTTGACAACATGTGCACGCACTCTGTACAGTGTTCCTGGAGAGCTGACCGCTAGCAGCTTCGTGATGGTAGTATCAGTGTACTCGCCATCTATAGCTGAAAAACACAATAGGTATAATTAATGATCTGTCACAGTCTCGAGGTAAAGCAGGGCATACAACCCCACATACTAGAACTCAGAATTAGGTGATAACGCACAAGAGGATCAGGAATTGGTGAACAAAACTAATGCCAAAACACAAAGAAGTCTGGAAGCTTGAGTACAGAAACTCGTACTCTCTACTACACAATCAAGTAATATAAAAGGCATGGTTATCTTAACTAGAGGTTATCTCGAGAAGATTTCGGGGCTTAGCGTCCCCACGGCCCGGTCCTCGACCAGGCCTCCTTTTTGTTACACATCCCTAGGAAACAGCCCATAGCAGCTGTCTAACTCCCAGTAACTAACTTACTGCTAGGTGAACAGGAATATTAGGATGAAAGAAACTCTGCCCATTTGTTTCTGCCTCCATTGGGAATCAAACTTGGAACCTCAGGACTATGAATCCCAAGCACTGTCCAGTCAGCTGTCAGGCCCCTTGGTAATTAGTCAATTATTACAATATCAAGATGCTATAAACAAACATGAGCAACAGACATAATCTGTGCTACTCACAGCAGCAAAACATTAAAAGAACACGTTGTGTAGACACTCACCCGTTTCAACTTTCTCTGTCCTAGTCCTCGGAGAATGATTGTCCGTCTCTCTAGTTCTCGGAGAATGATTGTCCGTCTCTCTAGTTCTCGGAGAATGATTGTCCGTCTCTCTAGTTCTCGGAGAATGATTGTCCGTCTCTCTAGTTCTCGGAGAATGATTGTCCGTCTCTCTAGTTCTCGGAGAATGATTGTCCGTCTCTCTAGTTCTCGGAGAATGATTGTCCGTCTCTCTAGTTCTCGGAGAATGATTGTCCGTCTCCCTAGTTCTCGGAGAATGATTGTCCGTCTCCCTAGTTCTCGGAGAGTGATTGAATGTCTTGGAAGCCTCGCCTGTCAAGTCAATTTTCCGCTTTGCTGTTTTGCTTGTAGTCTGTGGCCCAATGCCTGAAGAATTATTGAACTGAGTTAGTGAGATCCTTGATCAGCAGCAGCACAGGGCTAGGATAAGGTTATTTTCTCTATCTTGTACCACTTCTACACTCTTATCAACTGAGGCTACTGCAACTAGGTTAAGCACAACATGCTACATGTAATTTACTTAGGTGTTACAAGAGAGCAATTATAATCCAACTTGTCTACACTAAGTGCATCTGCAAGTACAAGATTGAGAAACACTTTAAAAAACTAAATGCACATGTATGTGTAAGCTTTGGAGAGAAGAATACGCATTAAATGAATCTGCATGCACAGGCTTGGAAAATGCATCTGCTCGTGTAAGCTTGAGGGACAGAAGTACACAGCAAATGCACCTACTGGGTATGTGAACACTTAGAACACAAGATGTTTACCAGAAATGAACTAACTATAAACATATACTTTTCAGGAGAAACAGCCATTGGCTGTGATAGACAAGGTGTGGTGTAGTTTTCGTGCACTGGTGCACTGTAAAATTACACAACTTGGACACTTTACATCATGAGAATGGCTTGAAATAATAATAATAATCTTTTATAACTAGTAACCTCAATAGGCAATTTAACTTTCCTTCCATTGCCAACTTTTGGCAAATATTTTACGTAATACATTAAAAGAATTTCTTTGAGCAGTTTACTCGGTTGCTTCCTAAGGTAAGCGTCACTAGGAACTCATTAATAGGAATCTCAGTCAGTAGGAACCTCAGTGGGAACTGCATCATATACTGTACTATAGAGCACTCAAGGATAACAATACCATTCACCAATACAAACTATTATATACTTCTGAAGAATACCATTCACCAGTAATGACCTACTGAAGGAACAGTTCAAACTGGAAGCTCTTCCTACTCTTCACTGACAGCATAGAGACCACCAAGGGGACATTAGTTAACAACCAGTAAGCCTGCACCATGCAGGTGGCACCTAGCCATATGCCCTGGTGGTCATCAGATGGCACTTAGCCACCTGGGGCCAGATTCACGAAAGCACTTACGAACCTGTACATCTTTTCTCAATCTTTGGTAGCTTTATTTCCAATTATTAAACAGTTAATGAGCTCCGAAGCACCAGGAGGCTGTTTATAACAATAACAACAGTTGAACGGGAAGTTTTCATGCTTGTAAACTGTTTAATAAATGTAATCAAAGCCGTCAAAGATTGAGGAAAGATGTACACGTTCGTAAGTGCTTGCGGAAGTGCTTTCGTGAATCTGGACCCAGCACCTCACCTGGCAGTAACATACAGTGTACACAAAGGGGTCATCCACCCTTCACTCGCGAGCCCTTCACAGATCCCTTCTGTCTCTCACGACACTCGGGAACCAGCTATTAGTTAAATGACAACGTTCATATCATGAAACTGTTCTCTCAGTTTCTCACCACTGCCACCATTGTAACGGGGGGTGGGGGAAATAGCTATCTCTTGTCCATTATTCCACCCCCCCCCAGTTAACTAACGAGGCCGGAGGAAACAGCTCTCTCTAGTCCGTTATCCCGTCCCCACTTACCTAACTATTCTAGAGCACTCCCAGAGTTCCTACGGCAGCCCCTCTCGTTCACCACCTTGTAACCTAGGTATGTGACTACCTAGGTACGGGTACTACATGGCGCCGTAACTTGAGCAGCTACCCGAAACTCTAGAGAACTCTAGAATACATTTCACTGCCACAAACTTATAAGAGAAACGAAAGGGAAGAGATAAATAATGAAGTAATTAGTGAGGGTGTGGGGTGAGAGAGGTAGAGAGGTGGGAGGAGCGAGGAGGGTCATTAGTTGAAAGTGAGAGTTTGGAGAGGGGTGGAGGGAGAGGTGTAGATAGATAGAAGTAGAATAGATAGTAGAAGTAGAAGAGTAGATAGTAGAAGAAGAAATGCTGCCACCATCCATTCTAGACCATTACATACAAGACAAGGAATGGAACTTGTCTGTATCACCAAATTCTCAAAGGTGTTAACACGAGGTCATTATTAGTGTGTTCCATCTGTATCATGTACTCATTAAAATCCTGAACCCAGTAACCGCAGAGGCTTTCTCACCTCACCTCAAAAACTCTAGGGAACAAAGTTAAAGACAATTTAAATAATAAATTCAACAATTATATTTTTCATGATAAGTATCATAATTTAAGCCATTCAACTTAATGTTCAAGACACAAAGTGCAAAGTGAGTCATCATCCAAGAATTCAAGAACTCTACAACTTGACTGCCCCTGATCCTCACACAACAGTTGTAAACACGACTGTCACCTTTCATGTTCAACTCACCAAGTGTCTACCTATAGCTGGATAGAGGGGGGGGGGGGGGGGGGTCTGTAGATTACAGAGACTGTCCCGCCCTGCTGGCTGACAGCCTCCCTGGCTAGGCCATCTTCTCTGCTCTGCTGGCTGGCTCCTATCCTATCTATGCTCTGCTCTCCGAGACTGTTCAACACGCTTCCGCTACACATAAGGGGCATAACTGGCAAACCCCTCAGTGTTCAAGAGAGAACTGGATAAGCACCTCCAAAGGAAACCTGATCAACCAGACTGTGACTCATGCGTCAGGCTGCAAGCAGCCGCGTCCAACAGCCTGGTTAATCAGTCCAGCAACCAGAAGGCCTGGTCGACGACCGGGCCGCGGGGACGCTAAGCCCCGGAAGCACCTCAAGGTAAGGTAACAAGTAGATAGCCTCAGGCACTCTACCAAGCCACTCCTTAAACGTCGGCATGTTTGAAGGCCAATTATCAGATTAGCAGAAGCAAGGTGGAATTCGCATGATCTGACCTCGGGTCACTTCGGGTCATTAACGCTTAGAGGTGTGAGACTCAGGCCGACCAAACTGGCGCCTCTCAAATCCTTGTCTGTGACTCATGAACTATATATGTTTTTAAATAAAACTAAACCAAACACCTTACAGTGTTATACAATTATATTTCCCACCATGATCAATCATAGTTCCCACCATGATCAATCATATTTCCCACCATGATCAATCATATTTCCCACCATGATCAATCATATTTCCCACCATGATCAATCATATTACCCACCATGATCAATCATATTTCCCATCCTCCTTCAGATTAACCTCTATCTACTACTAGTGTTCAATACATTTCACAAAAATCTGAGTATCTTTCAGCCTCACAGAACCAATCAGAAAATCAAACTACCGAATTGGGGCACAAGTACATTAACGGTTGCAGGTTTCGCCTAAAATGAGATAATAGACTAGAAGATTTTTTTTTGTCATTGAATCATTAAGGCATCCTGTGAAAATTACATGCTAAAATTTCAAATAATCGACTAAAATTGAAATGTTATGCTGCATTTTTGTCCCCAAAAACAGTTAGGATAGGCAGGAAATTTTAGGGTCAAATGCAAACCGTAAACTGTCACTTTTCCTTCATCCTTTCAGCGCTATAAAAAACTCTAGAAACTACAATTAATGTGAGAAGGAGCTTACTGCTCATATGATCTGAACTCTGTCCCGAGAGAACTGACGGGGATGCTGGTGGGAGGCCTGAATTATTTTGAGTCCTGTCGTAAAATTCTTCAGAAGTCACCGAATTTCTTGATACTCCAGGGGAAGCGTTACCTGAACAGGACATGACATTAATTATGACACCAACCTATAATTACCTCGGCTGCATTCATGGTGTTCTGGAGAGCATGCAAAGATATTTCACTGATAAAATCAACTCAATAAAACATCTGAGTTATTGAGACCAACTCAAAATTTTAAATCTGTATTCCCTGGAATGCAGGCAGAAGAGATATTGTATATAATAATTTACATTTGGGAAATATTAGAAAGACTGGTTCCAAATCTCCACACATATAAGTGTGTGGTAGATTTGGAACCACAATGCCTTCTTGTCTCATGGAACACCATGAGACCAGAAGGCATGCCAGGATGTGCAAAATAGCCCCCACACAAAAGCAGAGGTGCAATAGGTATAATAAGAGCAAACTCAATCAACATCAAAGGCCTGAGACTTTTCAACACTCTCCCTCTACACATACGGGGCATAACTGACCAACCTCTTGCAGTGTTCAAAAGAGAACTCGACAAGCCCCATCAAAGGATACCTGATCAACCAGGCTGTGACTCGTACATCAGGCTGCGAGCAGTCGCAGTGAACAACTTGGTTGACCAGACCAGCAACCAGGAGGCCTGGTCAGAGACCGGACCATGGGATGTTGATCCTAAATAATCATCAACAGGTGCATACTAAGGTTCTCTTGGTAGTTGTCCTTCACATGACACATTGAAATTAAAATTGCGCTAAGTCACATCAGCCCATAGAGTGTGGGAAACAGGATATAAATGGTAACGTCTAACAGCTCTAATCATGTTTTTAATTATTTTTGTAGAGGGACTCAGTATTACAGAAGAGTTAAAGCCTTGGAAAAGCTATTGAGGATATTTAAAACCAAATTCTATGGTTTGTTTTCATTTTGGCTTGGCAAGGTTTTTATTCACACAGGTATGGCCCTGCTATCTTTTGAAAATAAGTTTTGAGGCTGGGGACGTGAGAAATAAGCAAGATGTGGTTACATTTTTTGCAGACATGTTTATTTGATAGTTGTCTATTATAGGTCAAAATGAAAATTTTGCCAAGTGAAATTAGCCCATATAGTGTGGGAAATGCATCCTGGAGGCATCGCCAGGTGCAGCGAACCCCTCACTGCAACGAATTGAGGTTGGTCCTATGTAATTCATTGAATCAAAGTTGTACTGTATATCTACCTGGCTAATGATAAGCATTATGTTGATTGTGTCCAATGACAAGTATTGCGTAGGCTGTATCCAATGGCGAGTATTATGCTAACCATGTCCAAAGATGAGTATTATGTTAGCTATGCCCAATAACAAGCATTACATTGCTAGAACACCTGGCAGATGTTCGAAATTCAGCCAACTTTTTTAAAATGTATCACCAGGTTTTGTGCCAATTGACAAGATTTTGGTTTCAATTTATAGATAAATGTTTCGTCTTTAAACTTATGAAATACAATAAACTTAAAGTAGCTGAAGACCTAGCAACTATCACATTCAACCCATCAGTCACTTTCACCCACATCAAAGCAAACTGACCTACTCTAGTAGAACACAAATACATCTTTCAAATGCAAAAAGAACTTGTGAGGTCCTTAAACGAAAAAGAGAGCGTCATCAGTACTGACTTCTGGTGTTTACATCCTGGTGTGAACGCTGTGGAGAGTGCTGGGTGCTGGTGGGCAGGTCCGGGGGAAATGTTATGCTGCTTTCATCAGCTATATCCTCTGGCAAGACTAAAGAGAGTAGAAACAAATGTTAGAAATGAGTGTAGTAGCTTGTTACTGAGCCATTATTACTCTCTCTCCTTATAACCACAATGATAAATGTGATTATATGCACAATTACCCCATCATCATTGTACCACCTTAGTAATTACATGGAATATTGAGCTTCAAATATGCTATCTTTAGAGGTGCAGGGAATAAGTAACAATGACATGGCTGAAATATCCCGACTCGCGCACATAAAAATAATTCAGAGACAACATTTGGGCCCATCCTGGACACTTATTCAGCTAATTTATTTGTATATATATATATATATATATATATGTGTGTATGGGGTTAAGTTATCTTTAGAGGTGATTTAATATTTATGTACAGCACTCAAATGTTGTTTGGTTACCCCCAATACTAGTTGATAATGTACACGTACACTCCAACATGGTTCACCATATTACAAAGAAAGTTGGGCATAGTATTTTCAGCAATAAATACGATCATCGCTACTTTTACCCCCAATTATTATGCTTTTATTAATTCAAACTTAAAATGTTTCAAAGCATAGACACATTAAAGATTATACACAATTACAGAACTATATACTTAAACATAGGTACCGAACATTTATACACAAGTGCCAAATATATAGCAAACATGTACACACGGGTAGTAAATATGTATACAAAAGGTTGCAAACATGTACACACAGGTTCCAAACATATACACATAGGTATCAAACACGCGCACACAAACACACACACAATATTTAAAATTGGGGCCCCAACAGCCCCAGCAAACTAGAGATAAGAGAAAAAGATATAAAACCAAACTACTGTTCCTGCACAAATTCCTATTTTTAGTGCAACTATTAACACTTTCATGTTTCGATGATGCTAAAACACATCGGAACTCCGAGTGTAAACATTCTGAAAAGCGTCGTCCAGTTTTAAGCACTGCTAAGCTGGACCCACGGAGCACGTTAGGTTTATGCTCTGCAACGCGCGGAAAGACCAAAATCTATCAAATACACTTTTGATTTTCGCATCTATTCTCTAGACAATTCATATATAAACCTTTTGACACCAAATTTGTTATAACCCAACAAATAAGTGACAAAACATAATATGATTGTAAACAATTTTTGCATCTCTGAGTGGCCTGGTGAGCCACCCAGGGAGTCCAGAATGTTTACAGCCCAAAACATGTGGAGAGGTTCGACTCAATGTTTGTTTGCCTTTTACAATGAATGGCATTTGGTGATTGTATTAACCCATCCCTAAGAAAACAAAATACAGCAGAACCAATATAGAAAGACCCAATAATGAATTGCTTACCATTTCTTTCGAGCCTTGCCAGAGTGTTGTGCGGGTGACTGTTGTATGAGGATTCTTTGGCATTTTCTTGCGTTGCCTGCGACCTGCCGACAGTGATACATGTCAACCATTATTCTACTCGTCAATGTTTCACACTCGGTCTCAACCCATACCCACCGAAAGTAATGACCAAGAACAAGACTCATCCACACTGCCCAGTGTAAAATTTTACTTATTTTATTTGCTCTCTTGTTTGTATGATGAATGAGATTGCTTGTTGTTTTGAGTGATCAAGAAGTTAATATATCCTAATCTCCTGAACACTGTGGAAGCCCTGTCCTTATCTCCTGAACACCGTGGAGGCCCTGTACGGACCACTTTTCATGTCGTTCATCATTAAGGTACTCCCCACTCGGTACCTCTTTTTAAACACTGCCTAGAATTTATGAAGGTTTCTAATGTCAAAAGTTACCATTTTAGTGTTGATTATACCTGAAATATATTGAATCATTACAGCAACCTGTACAGATATTAGGAAATTAATAATCAGTAATATGGTTTGTTCTACTTTTGGCATAAACACGGCACAGAGAAGTGCTGATAACCTGCCAAATATTTATATACAGAGTTATTTTATCATCTCCTGTATGTTTGCCATAATTATAAAGAATTATAAAGGGGTCTGACAGCCGAGTGGACAGCGCTTCGGATTCATAGTCCTGAGGGTTCCGGGTTCGATCCCCGGTGGAGGCGGAAAAAAAAGGGAGCAGTTTCTTTCACCCTTATACACCTGTTCACCTAGCAGTAAATAGGTACCTGGGAGTTAGACAGCTGCTACGGGCTGCTTCCTGGGGGTGTGCAACAAAAAGGAGGCCTGGTCGAGGACCCAAAAATCATCTCGAGATAACCCGAGTAATACTTAGAGAGGCCTTTACCCATGACAAACATTGCTGCGTTCCTCATGCTTTCTTAAAATGTTAGGGTGCTAACACTGCTTAAGAGTGTTTTGCAGCAGTTAGCTATACTTCACTAGTTATGTCTATACGGTAGTTGAAATGAGTATGTATGTATGGTAGTTGCAATGAGTCAAGTTGATTTCTCTTTAAAAGAATTTATGAAACCAACAAGAGAAGATGTTTGAAATTATAATTATCTGACAGAAACATATAGAAAGACTCTCCCATTTGATTAATTAGTTTAAAGTACAGATTAATTTGACACTATAATTGACACACAACTACAGAGGGATAAAATACAAACCTCAACGGGTCATTCTGCGACTGAAAATCTCTAATGAATCTCTCCATCGAGTCGGTGTGTGACGGCAGCTTAGGCGAGGAGTGGACGGAGGACTGCAGCAAGGAGGAGCCAGTTGGAGCCGCTAATGACCTGCGTAATAATAATATTGACAATCGTAAACAATTCTTCAAAGTGCCGAGTATCAAGATGCCAGTGTTTGACAGCACTCCATATTTGACCACCTTGTGTAACACCAGGACACGATAACTAATGCTGACGGAGGGAGGAAAGGAAAGGAAAGGAAAGGAAAGGAAAGGAAAGGGAAGGAAGGGAGGGAAGGGAGATAGGAAGGGAGATAGGGAAGGAAGAGAGGGAAACAGATGATAGTCTCAGTATTACCCCATGTTTATCAACAAGCTCTTAAGAGACTCGGCTAGTCCAGCAATGACACCAACTTTTATAGGAGGAAGCATTAAACTAGCTTATATAAAAGTAGGCACTATCTATTATATATTAAAGTTAAATAAAAAATTGAGTTAAGTATTAGAGCAATAATTGTATTTACAGCATAAGTTTTGGGTTTCTAAAATACGGTAATAATCTTTAATATCATAAAACATCAAACTACCGAGAACGGCTGAACTTCCGTATAGTTGTTATAAATGGCTCACATCGCCTCATAAGCCCTTTAAGGGGGTAAAAAGATTTACCCCTGAAAAGAAATGTTGAGTAAATTATTGAATAGTGAAGGAATGCATCATATAATTATCCTTGTATAAAAACAGGATACTACTGTATCACTGCAGGATTACATAATGGATAATACAACATGGACCAAGCTAATAAAATAAATGCAAGACACAAAATTTCACAATGTACTCAAGCATTACTTAAAGGATTTATCCATGTTTCGAAATACTGTACTACATGGCATGCCAACAAGTAAAACTATCTCTAACCTAGGCCTAAATAAACCATCCTGGGCCTTGCATATTTTATCATAGGCCCCATTTAGTACATACATGTGCTATGCTAGGCCTAGGAAATGTTGCTTTTGGTTATGAAATCAATCTCAGCCCCTCAACAAAATTAATGGTGCAAAACATGGATTTTTCTTACGGGCAATGCGCCCTATTCTGTACTTTCATTCGTAGTAACTATAGGTACTATTGTTTTTTGGATGACATTATATATGGCATAAATATACATCTGGTCTAGTTAATAAACAGTTTTACATTTGACTTACTTATTACAAATAAACCAGTTTATGAATGACAATACTGTATGGAAGTGGAGCGTGTAGTCAGGGATGGTATGGCCATATGGAATGAACGGATAATGCAGAACAGTGTGTACTCGTGTGAATTTGATAGTTGGAGGAGCAGGATAAGAAAGCCAAGTTTATGGAGCGATAAAGTGCATGTGTTCGAACGAGGGAACTGAGTATAGCAGTGCAGGAGAACTGGTTGCAAAACAGTCTTCAATAGTAAGTATGATAGAGTACCAGCAAGATGAAAAGTACAAATGCACCAAGTACTAACATCTATGAATTGAGAGCCAGGAAATAAACATTGCTCAATGTATGCACAGTTAGATAAGGAATTCACAAGAGTCATTCAATGCCAAGCCTCACCAAGCGCCCATCACACTCAGCACGGGTGGGACACGAACAAGGGGACACAGGTGGAAACTTAGTACTGTACCCAGATGAGCCACAGAGACGTTAGAAAGAATTGTTTCGGTGTCAGGGTAGTTAACAAATGGAATGCACTAGGCAGCGATGTGGTGGAGGCTGACTCCATACACAGTTTCAAATGTGGATATGACAGAGCCCAGTAGGCTCAGGAACCTGTACACCAGTTGATTGACAGTTGAGAGGCAGGACCAAAGAGACAAAGCTCAACCCCGCAAGCACAATTAGGCGAGTACTGATGCCGATGAATGGCAAGTGTGTGGGGTTAAGGCTGCTCTGAATGATGTTGTAGTGTCTAGAAAGCAGCGGGAATTGCTGTAGGTCACTTGGGATACCTTTAGCTCAGTGTCATAATCCTATTCTTTCTGCTCCGTGTGTATGTCTCCAAGTCACCAGCCAAAAACGGGTTACACATTAAGCATCACAATACAGTATAGCTACATGCTAAAATATAAGTAGTATTTATTTACTGCATTTGAAACAATCTTCATTTATGGAAGAGCACAGTTCGGCAGTGTCAAGTCTCGCACGGATCGGCAGTGTCGAGCCTCTCATGCACCACACATTCAACCACGGCTAAGCAAAATAACTAAATGTTCTACACTGCAGCAACACTTCATTATTAAGGGTCATTATAAGAACATGCAAGTTTCACCTGCCGAGATGTGACGTCAGACCGGCCCACCCACCGACGCCAGCCGTCACCTTTGTGCTAAACGGATGGGTGTTGATGCGATTAGGACTGGGCTTGTGCAGCGGGGGCCTGAAAACCATTAACCGTACCCATTTACCCTTTAGGACCAATCCAGCTGGGCAATAATTAAATTAAACCTATTTATACCTACCACACAGCTAGCCAACAAGGGTACAATGATGACAAGAATGATCTCGGCACCATACTCGAAGGTTGCTTCCCCCAACCCTCCCTGTGTGTGTACAACCAGTAAATGGGGGTTGGTATGATATACAAATGGGACTAGGCATGATAAATAAAGGGGGCTAGGTAAGTTCTACTAATGGGGCACTTTAAAGTCAACTAATGGGACTAGGTAAGATTACCTGAGGGGGCTAGGTAAGATCAGCTAAAGGGTGGTTAAGTAAGATCAACTAAGGGGGCTAGATAGTACAATACAAGGGGGGGGGGGGGGGAATACATGGCTCCAGCACATTCATTAAGGTCCCCCCCTCCCGATCCTATCAACGACAGAGATAGAAGATGAGACGACAATCTCAAGCAGTAATCTTGAACGTCACCCCCCCCCCCATCACCCCCCTAACAAGAGATGGAGGAAGATCCACTACCGCACTTGTGTGCAAGTCACACCCAACTTATAAGGATATTTTGTCGGAAAACTATTTAGGATGGACACTCGAGCCACACATCTGAAAAGAAGGGAAAGTGATTGCTCGATAATTGTCCAGGATAGACCCAAATGTTGTCACTTTCTTTCCACGTGTGGGTGTAGGGGGGAAGGGTTAGGTGTCGAATTTTCAGCCATGGTATTGTGACACTGCAATTTTATCATATACAATAGTATATATTTTTTGAAAGACATTTTCAAATGGTTTTGTAGGGGATAACATGATTTTGTGAATACAAATGCTGTATTTGGTTCGTAATTACCGAAGTGTAATTGCAGGATGCGAGGTACGCTCATGGTGTCCCGTCTTCACAGTACTCTTTGTTGTATAACGCTTTGAAACTACTGACTGTTTTGGCCTCCACCACCTTCTCACTTGTTCCAACCGTCTACTGCTCTGTTTGCAAAAGAAAACTTTCTAATGTTTTTTCAGCACCTTCGTGTCCTTATGTTCGTGATGTTGCTGGTTTCAGGAATTTCTCTGTTAAATTGTTAGATTCCTGTTAGTATTTTGTAAGTGATCATATCATCTATTTTTCATCTATCTTCTAGTATCGGCATGTTTAACGCCTCGAGTCTCTCCTCGTAACTCTTGTTTTCAGTTCCGGAAGACATTTTGTTGGGTGCCGTTGCACCTTTTCCAGTTTAATTATGTGCTTCTTCAGTTTGGGTGGTGCCCAGTTGTATGGGCATCACACAACTACTGCATATTCCAATTTTGGTATGACAAAAGTCATGAATTTTTTTTTTTAGTATTTCACCATCCATATACAGTAATTAAAAGCAAGTCTGAAGTTGAAAAACAACGCATACGCTCCTCTCACAACGTTCTTTGTGTTCCTCTGGCAACAGCTTACTATCCAAAACCACCCCAAGGTCTTGTTATTTATTACTGTTCTGTAATTCCTTTCTACATAATTTTTAAGTTATGCATGGTCTATTTTCTCCAATTTCACATTCCATAACATGGCATTTATTTGCATTGAATTCCATTTGCCACTTGACGCTCCAAGCACTTACTTTATCTAGATTGATTTGAAGTGCATCACAATCATCTGCATTCCCTATCTTCTCCAGTATCTTAGCATCATCCATAAAAATGTTCGTATAGTTCTGTATACCTTCTGATAGATCATTTATGTAGATGATAAACATTACTGGTGCAAGAATTGAACCCTGTGGTACTCCACTAGTAACACTCCTCCAGTCAGATACATTGTCTCTGATTACTGTCCTCATCTGTCTGTCAGTTAGAACATTTTTCATCCATGTCAGAAGTCTCCCTGTCACTCCACCAGCATGTTCCAGTTTCCAGAAAAGCCTCTTGTGGGGGGACTCTGTCAAAAGCCTTTTTTAGGTCCAGATAGACACAGTCAACCCAACCATCTCTTTCCTGTAGTATCTCTGTGGCTCTATCATAAAAACTAAGTAGATTTGTTTCACAGGATCTTCCTGTTCGAAAACCATACTGTCTGTCTGTTATTATGTCATTACTCTCTAGCTGTTCAACCCATTTGGCTTTAACTATTGTTTCTAGTGTTTTGACTACCACGCTTGTTAATGACACGGGTCTATAATTTAGAGCTTCCTCTCCACTACCATTTTTATCGACTGGTATTGTACTACTTTGCCTTTTTCTATATATCTGCTAAGATTCCTGTGCACAAGGATGTCTGGAATATTAATTAGAGTGGAATGCTCACCGAAGTTGCACATTCTCGCAGCACCCAAGGTGAAATTCCATCGGGTCCAACTGCTTTATTTCTTCCAAGCCCCTCGAGTAATTTTGCCACTTCGTCTTGAGATACCTCTATGTACTCTATGGTGTGCTCTGGGATTGGTATTGGATCCGGTTCTAAGAAAACCTCATTTTGTACATACACACTTTGGAACTGTTCATTTAGCATTTCACACATTTCCTTTTCATTCTCAGTAGTCCTGTTTCCCCATTTGCAATCTTCCCAATCTCTGGATTTTATCCTTTACATGCAGCTTGCTTTTAATGAATTTCTTGAAAAGACCTAGATTTGCTTTACATTTGTCTGCTATACATTTCTCAAAGTTGCTTTCTGCCTCTCTCCTCACTGTTGTTTAATTGTTTCTTGCTTGCTTGTAGTGCTCATATGTTTGTGGGTTCGGCCTCTTCCTATATTAAACTCAGTTTCTTGTCTTTTTCTCTCTGACCCTCTCACAATTTCTGTTGAACCAATCCAATTTTCTGGTCCTGCATTTCTATTTTGGTATGAATGTTTGTGTGCCTTCATCGTATATTTTGCAAAATTTGGCATACTTCCCTGCCTAGCAACAAGTCTGTCCAATTACACTCATTAAAAATATTCAAAGTTCCCCATAGAGTCTTCTCTTGAAATCGAGTTTATCAACTGTTTCGATGTCCCCAGTCTCTTCTAGATTATATCACAAAGCATATTTAATTTCCAACAGGACATGATCACTCTTTCCCAAAGGAGGAAGGTACTGAATGTCAAATATCTCTTCTTTCCTGGTGACTATTAGATCCAGTATTAATAGAACATTCCCTTCCCTCTTTCTTGTGGCCTTCTTGAGGTTATCTTGAGATGATTTCGGGGCTTTAGTGTCCCCGCGGCCTGGTCCTCGACCAGGCCTCCACCCCCAGGAAGCAGCCCGTGACAGCTGACTAACACCCAGGTACCTATTTTACTGCTAGGTAACAGGGGCATAGGGTGAAAGAAACTCTGCCCATTGTTTCTCGCCGGCGCCCGGGATCGAACCCGGGACCACAGGATCACTAGTCCAGTGTGCTGTCCGCTCGGCTTCCCACTTAATGAATATTAGATCCAGTATTAATATTAATATTAATTATTATAAGTATTAATATTAATATTAATACTCGACATGAATGTCTCCAGAATGAGGTTTACAAATCTGCCTGTCCAAATGTCCTCAGTTCTTGCATCGTAGGCCTCCAAGTCTATTGATTTCAAGTTGAAGTTCCCCAGTACCAACAATTGTGACGGTACACAGCAATATACAGACTTAGCCTGTCCAAATACACATGCTAAGTCAAATACACATATATACTGTTACAGGTGATCAGTCACACCATTCATGGCCTCTCTCTGACCAATCAGATCACCCATGGCCTCTCTCTGACCAATCATACCACCCATGGCCTCTACTGACCAGTCAGATCACCCATGGCCCTATACTGACCAATCAGATCACTCATGGCCTCTACTGACCAGTCAGATCACCCATGGCCCTCTACTAACCAGTCAGATCACCCATGGCCTCTACTGACCAGTCAGATCACCCATGGGCCTCTACTGACCAATCAGATCACCCATGGCCTCTGACCAGTCAGATCACCCATGGGCCTCTACTGACCAGTCAGATCACCCATGGCCTCTACTGACCAGTCAGATCACCCATGGCCTCTACTGACCAGTCAGATCACTCATGGCCTCTACTGACCAGTCAGATCACCCATGGGCCTCTACTGACCAGTCAGATCACCCATGGCCTCTACTGACCAGTCAGATCACCCATGGCCTCTACTGACCAGTCAGATCACCCATGGCCTCTACTGACCAGTCAGATCACCCATGGCCTCTACTGACCAGTCAGATCACCCATGGCCTCTACTGACCAATCAGATCACCCATGGCCCTCTACTGATCACCCATGGCCTCTACTGACCAATCAGATCACCCATGGCCCTCTACTGATCACCCATGGCCTCTATTGACCAGTCAGATCACCCATGGCCTCTACTGACCAATCAGATCACCCATGGCCTCTACTGACCAATCAGATCACCCATGGCCCTCTACTGATCACCCATGGCCTCTACTGACCAATCAGATCACCCATGGCCCTCTACTGATCACCCATGGCCCTCTACTGATCACCCATGGCCTCTACTGACCAATCAGATCACCCATGGCCCTCTACTGATCACCCATGGCCTCTACTGACCAATCAGATCACCCATGGCCCTCTACTGATCACCCATGGCCTCTACTGACCAGTCAGATCACCCATGGCCTCTCTCTGACCAATCATACCACCCATGGCCTCTACTGACCAGTCAGATCACCCATGGGCCTCTACTGACCAATCAGATCACCCATGGCCTCTACTGACCAGTCAGATCACCCATGGCCTCTACTGACCAGTCAGATCACCCATGGCCTCTACTGACCAATCAGCTCACTCATGGCCTCTACTGACCAATCAGATCACCCATGGCCCTCTACTGATCACCCATGGCCTCTACTGACCAATCAGATCACCCATGGCCCTCTACTGATCACCCATGGCCTCTATTGACCAGTCAGATCACCCATGGCCTCTACTGACCAATCAGATCACCCATGGCCCTCTACTGATCACCCATGGCCTCTACTGACCAATCAGATCACCCATGGCCCTCTACTGACCAATCAGATCACCCATGGCCCTCTACTGATCACCCATGGCCTCTACTGACCAATCAGATCACTTCTATACTATTGACTTAAGAGTTTGGTATAATCATTTGGCATTTTCCTATGAAGGAGTTTATAATACTATACTGACTAATACAAGTTAGAATGGTGGACTGGTAAGTAAGATTACCAACCCTTGAATGGTACATGTTTTGGGACAGCGGGGGTTTCAGTCCCCAAGGGAAATTGACACGCAACCTACATATCTGAAAGTGGGAAACCGTCTACGTTTCCGTCCAGAAGAGACCGAAACATCATCAGTTCTTAATGTTTAGATAGGTTTGTTGGGTGGGTGTCAACTCTTCACAGTCATATTATTGTGACTCATTGTCTCCAAGGAATGATGTTTAGACAAATATAGAATTCCATTCACCTGGGGTGTGTGGGGTCTCGAACCGTGGACCCCAGGCGTGCGAGGCCGACGCTCTACGACTGGGCTATGAGCAGTCTTAAAAAGGAGAGTTTCCAGAAGCAGCATCCTGCAGGATAGTGCTTCCACACCCATACAGCCCAAGCAAATGGAATTTTTATTGCCATGAAAGTGTGGATGACAATTTTACATATAAAATGTTCAAGAGTTGTAACTCAATTTTGAATTTGAAAAAAGCAAAATAGAACTACGAGTCCAGAAAACAATTACTGTATTTGTTGTTTACCTCAAGGTTGGCATGTCATTTTCTGGAGAGAAGCTTTGCGTTTCGTTATGTTCCATACTCCTGGCTAGCCGCCTGGAAATAAAAATAATTCTTCCTTTTAGTTCATTACATAACAGAACTATGACAAGTGGTTTCAACATTTCACATAAATCATTTTTTGTTAATTTCCTAAAAGGAGAGAGCTGGTTCATTTGTTAAGAGATCAGATACTGTATATAAGGCTTCGAGTCAACATGTAAAAGTGCCTTAGTGTGAAGAGTCCCTCCAGCACCGATGCCACCGGGAACTTTCCAAACATTTCCTCAGGGGTCATTACAACACAGAAATGACCCTCACTCCAGCCATGAAGGAGAATCAGAGGTACAGTTCTACACAAGACTGAGCAAAGGTTCGTCTCTCACCAGGACACCACCAAACACTAGCCTCATATCCACAAATAAAAGCAAAATATACACACTGTAAGGCTCAATATACACACACAGTGAAGCCCATTATACACACCACAGAGAGCAACAAATAATTCAATGCAGAAAGAATATGGATCGTCTAGTTAGGTTAGGCTAGGTTGCTTACTCCAAGATCTTGCAGACTTCCGAGTGCATGCGAGGCAGCTGCACCATTTCGCCCACTTTGCCATCAAACAACAACTCATACATTGGGTTGTCAAAATCTCCCTTTCCTTTGGTACGATTTTCAAGACATCTTACGTTCTTCATTTGGATGAATTCACCAGCCTGGAATCACAAACATACTTTAAATGCTCTGTAAAAGATAGTGGTCAAATTTCAACGACTAATTTATTCGGTGATCACAATCCTCGTACTGTGACATTGTATATCTATGAGAAAATCTTTGGAGCAGTGCATGGAATCAAACTTAATCTTGGGTCACCCCACATGTTTACACCCCCCATCTTGGGTCACCCCACATGTTTACACCCCCCATCTTGGGTCACCCCACATGTTTACACCCCCCATCTTGGGTCACCCCACATGTTTACACCCCCCATCTTGGGTCACCCCACATGTTTACACCCCCCATCTTGGGTCACCCCACATGTTTACACCCCCCATCTTGGGTCATCCCACATGTTTACACCCCCCATCTTGGGTCATCCCACATGTTTACACACCCCCATCTTGGGTCACCCCACATGTTTACACCCCCCATCTTGGGTCACCCCACATGTTTACACCCCCCATCTTGGGTCACCCCACATGTTTACACACCCCCATCTTGGGTCACCCCACATGTTTACACCCCCCATCTTGGGTCACCCCACATGTTTACATCCCCCATCTTGGGTCACCCCACATGTTTACACCCCCCATCTTGGGTCACCCCACATGTTTACACCCCCCATCTTGGGTCACCCGACATGTTTACATCCCCCCATCTTGGGTCACCCCACATGTTTACATCCCCCCATCTTAGGTCACCCCACATGTTTACACCCCCCATCTTGGGACACCCCACATGTTTACACCCCCCCATCTTGGGACACCCCACATGTTTACACCCCCATCTTGGGTCACCCCACATGTTTACACCCCCCATCTTGGGTCACCCCACATGTTTACACCCCCCATCTTGGGTCACCCCACATGTTTACATCCCCCATCTTGGGTCACCCCACATGTTTACATCCTCCATCTTGGGTCACCTCACAAATTTACATTGCTGTACATAATTCAAGAACGCTCAACCTTCTGGCAACGCCGAGCGATACGAGCCAGTTGACACGAATGAAACTGGACTCCGAAGCAATAAGCAACCACAGTCCTCGTGCCTAGTATAAAAATGTTTCCAAATCATGTACGGTAATACTTGGGATCTTGTGTTTCCGCTAACTTGAGCCTTCTTTAATAATTTCAAGAAATCCGACGCACAAATTAAATGTCTGGAGGGAGGGAGAGATTTATCAGGAGAAAGTGCCAAGCCATTACGACTCTATAGCTCTTGGAAAAGGGGTCAGGATAAGGATTTGGAATGTGACAGGGAAAAGGAATGGTGCTCGACTACTTAGACGGTCGGAGATTGAACGCCGACGTGCAAGAAGCGAGACCGTCACTCTACCGTCCAGCCCAAGTGGTTGGGCAATGAGGGGCAATAAGCACATTAGGTGTTGTATAGCAGGCATGGAGGCAGACATGCAAAGCTAGATCCTATAACTCCAAGGTTACTAATAGGTAAGCACCACATCCTCTGAGATTCAAAATGGGAGCTTGGGTGTGGTAAATAATGCCATCAGTTGAGGCCACAATCAAATGTCACACCTAGCAGTACTGTTAAAGATTGACAATTATGCTTCCTTAAAATAATCATACCCATACCTATCCCCACAATTTTTTATGTTCAAAGATGTTGTGGTCAAAATAATGATAAATAAAATTATATATATTGTGTATGTGAACGTGGTTCGTGGGGTGAGAAAGCAGAGGCCATATGGGCGAGGAAGGATGATGAGCAGATTACATGATGTCATACTGCAAATCACCAGAACCTGTAGTGAGACGACCTCTGGTAACAGAGATAACAAAGCGAAAATCATCTTGACCGACCTCGGCGAGGATCGCAGCTTTAGTGGGATTGATGACCAGCACATCCACCTCGTACGAGCCAATGCCTCGATAGCACTCCGACTGTGACAGGAGTTCCAATGTGGTATTCTGCAAGTCAAACTGAAAGGAAAACATGAGATTGCTGTCAGTATAGTGGAATGGCTGAAAGGGTAACAATATGGGATAGTAGGCAAGACATGTACAAGTATGGAGAAGTTTATGGATAAGAAGAGTCCAAGTATCAGTGAGTGTATGGGAGAGGGGTATCCAGAGTAGGGATAAGATGGGTGCCAGTATCAGTGAGTGTATGGGAGAGGGGTATCCAGAGTAGGGATAAGATGGGTGCCAGTAAAGGAAAGGTGACGAGTTATGCAAGAACAGGAGTGCCTAGAGGTTGAGTTACAACCGTATTGGGTTCTTAGTAACCATACATTAAACAGTGATTAATATATCTGAGCATTTTCGAGAGTTCAACTTAAAATATTACAGCAAAATTTTTAAAGTAAATTTTTATTGATTAAATTCAAAAACAGATAAAAATACTGCTGTTCATAAGATATAACAAAACAAAAGATCAGAAATTAAAATTTTGACGACACTCTGGGCTGTGACGTCATTAGTTGCCGAAGGCGGACCAGAACTATGTCCAGTAGTCCCTCATGTAATGTGTCATTTCGTGTACAGTATTTGGTTTGGTTACACCAATGTGACTTTATTTTTATTGGTCTTAATGTAATTCAAAACATTTCGTGGTCAAAGGGCAAACTAGAAACATCTGTACATACTTGGGTGAACTGCAGCTGGGTCGGCGAGCCATCTTGTATTCGCATGATGAAAAATTGTGCAGTAGCCTTCACTGCCCGCTTCTCCAGAACCTGAAAGTCCATCACAAAAAAACATGGATTGGAGAATGTCTGAGAACAGCCCAACTTACAACACAATATTAAGAAACAAGAGAGAAACCAATCAATAGTGACTAGCTACACCAATCAATAATCAACCAATCACCAATCAACCAATCAATAATGACTCGAGAGCCAGGAAAACACACAACAAAGGAGGAAGAGAGCATGCTGAGGGGGCTAAGTTAGAGGACATGTTGAGGGGGCTAAGTTAGAGGGCATTTTGAGGGGGCTAAGTTAGTGGGCATGTTAATTTTAACAATTTCCTGGATTTTCGACTTGGACTTACGGGCAGTTTGCTTAACCGCTTGTCGGATCACGACGTAAATTTACGGACCGTGTTATATTGGGTATTTACTACTCGATCGACTTGGGGATTGTATGAATATGTTTGTCATTAAATTTTTGTTTTCTCTAATAGGCACTGTGCCTATTTGAGAAAACGGCAATGTATTGTAACTTAGAGGAGAGACTATTGAATTGGTGACACAACGAGGGTAATCGCGCACTCCACACACTCTTGTGTTGGCCGCGATCATGATTCTACATTTATATGCATATGTCTGTGTAGAGAATTTTATTCCGAACACTATACAAACAAAAAAAACGGAGTGAATCAAGTATAAACTTGAAAAAACATGAGCAAAGTAAAAACTTTTTACGCTCATGGGTACAAACACGCGTAAGATTCGCATAAGATTTTATTCGCCGCAAATTTATTTGACGCTCTGTTGGCCAATTCTACCTATGTTCTTATAGAACTTTCTATTGCGAACACATTGCTATAAAAATGAAATACGTAGCTCGAGAAATAATGTCATGACAGTGAAATAAGTATAAACTTTCAAAGCGCTGCATCACAACAGTGTCGTCGCTGCTGAAATCACGGCTAACGCTTCGCCCAGTTCCCACACTCGTGCGGAACATAATTAGACATTGATAGGCATATGTCTGGGTGGGGAATTTTATTGCGAGTTCAATGATATCAAAATAAGCACTGTAGGATGACTGTGAGGCTGGCAACAAACGAAAGAGTATGAACATTTACTTCCTGTTTGGGTGTCACGGCGAGTCATCTTCGTGTTTATTTACTTCGTGGTGGGATAGCAAATGCTTGGGTGACATTTTATGCATATGATCTTGTAGAGAATTTTATTGCCAACGCATTGATACCAAAATGAAAAACGTAGCTCGAGAATTGATGTTAGGAGCGTGAAAAGATTTTAAACTTTTTTATGTTTACGCTTGAGCGCCCAGAACGCCGCGCGCACAACCCGCTTTTTTTTTCAGGAGTGCCGCGCGCACTAAAGTGTTAAGGGGGCAAAGTTAGAGGGCATGTTGAGGGGGGCTAAGTTAGAGGGCATGTTGAGGGGGGCTAAGTTAGAGGGCATGTTGAGGGGGGGCTAAGTTAGAGGGCATGTTGAGGGGGGGCTAAGTTAGAGGGCATGTTGAGGGGGGGCTAAGTTAGAGGGCATGTTGAGGGGGGCTAAGTTAGAGGGCATGTTGAGGGGGGCTAAGTTAGAGGGCATGTTGAGGGGGGCTAAGTTAGAGGGCATGTTGAGGGGGGCTAAGTTAGAGGGCATGTTGAGGGGGGCTAAGTTAGAGGGCATGTTGAGGGGGGCTAAGTTAGAGGGCATGTTGAGGGGGGCTAAGTTAGAGGGCATGTTGAGGGGGGCTAAGTTAGAGGGCATGTTGAGGGGGGCTAAGTTAGAGGGCATGTTGAGGGGGGCTAAGTTAGAGGGCATGTTGAGGGGGGCTAAGTTAGAGGGCATGTTGAGGGGGGCTAAGTTAGAGGGCATGTTGAGGGGGGCTAAGTTAGAGGGCATGTTGAGGGGGGCTAAGTTAGAGGGCATGTTGAGGGGGGCTAAGTTAGAGGGCATGTTGAGGGGGGCTAAGTTAGAGGGCATGTTGAGGGGGGCTAAGTTAGAGGGCATGTTGAGGGGGGCTAAGTTAGAGGGGGGCTAAGTTAGAGGGCATGTTGAGGGGGGCTAAGTTAGAGGGCATGCTGAGGGGGCTAAGTTAGAGGGCATATTGAGGGGGCTAAGTTAGAGGGCATGTTGAGGGGGCTAAGTTAGAGGGCATATTGAGGGGGCTAAGTTAGAGGGCATATTGAGGGGGCTAAGTTAGAGGGCATGTTGAGGGGGCTAAGTTAGAGGGCATGTTGAGGGGGCTAAGTTAGTGGGCATGTTGAGGGGGCTAAGTTAGTGGGCATGTTGAGGGGGCTAAGTTAGTGGGCATGTTGATAGGACTAAGTTAGAGGGCATGTTGAGGGGGCTAAGTTAGAGGGCATGTTGAGGGGGCTAAGTTAGTGGGCATGTTGAGGGGGCTAAGTTAGTGGGCATGTTGATAGGACTAAGTTAGTGGGCATGTTGATAGGACTAAGTTAGAGGGCATGTTGAGGGGGCTAAGTTAGAGGGCATGTTGAGGGGGCTAAGTTATAGAGCATGTAACTGACTTCAGGAGAAATAGAAAATAAGAGACATGAAAATGCCGACCTTTAAATATATCTTTAAGCAACAGAAGGCAAATACAAGCAGTGTCGTAGAAATGAACAAATCCACAAGGGCCATGACGAGGATTCTAACCTATGTCCGAGAGCATCCCAGACGCTGCCTTAATTGACTGAGCTACGACATGGTCGTAGGTCTTACGCCTTCTGTGTGTAATGAAGTAAGGGCGACGCAGGAGAACAGCCTATTGACACAGCTCAAGTGCATGGGGGGAATTGTGTAAAATCCTGGTTTGTGCCTCGGAGAGGCTGCAGGATCAAGTAAGTTCAGTAGAACTTCGGTTTCAACTCTCTTAACCCTTAAAGTGCGCATCACGTCATATGACGTACTGGACGTTGTTCCAGTCAACTGCGCATCGCGTCATATGATGTGTTGGAGTACTACGCAAGATTTAAACAGCCCGCGGATACACGGGGTTCACCACACCTTCATCAGGGCTCTTGTAAACAGACGCCATTTAAAAAAAAAATTGTGGGCCAAACTCCCGGGTGTTATTGGCCTCAGTATTGAGTGAGCAACCAAGCCTGACGCACGCAGCATGAGCTAACAGCACTGCTGTTCAGCTTGTGACCACAGCATCGCCTAAAAATGCCAAATTATACTTGTTCATGCTATTATGTAGCGATGATATTATTACAGAAGACCCCTGACTGTGATAAAACTGACCAGGGTTCTGATAATAGCAGGATTGTGGTGATATTTAGCGCTGTGCGCCATGGAAGGAGGTGTAATGCTGTTGGAGGGAGGGTGGTGGCGATGTCTTTTGACTATGTGTGGCCACCTTTTATTGACTGCACTCACCATACCAGCTTAGTGGTTCGCTATGGTGAACACAAATGTAGATACTTATATATAACGTGCGTATAGAGGGTATAAACAGCAAGAGGAGGTTTGGAGCCGCCATTTTGGTGAGGGCGGTGGCGTCGTCTGCACGACGCCACCGTGCAGACGACGGTGTTGTTTACTGGTTACCACGATGGTCTTTGGGCACCATACCAGTTTATTTGTACAAGTATGATGAATAAAACAGGTAGATATTTATATATAATGTGTGTATATAGCATAATAACACCACACAGTATTGTTGGAGGACAAATATTAGTGCGTCTGGCCTTGAGGGCGGCCGCCGATCAGCTGACTGTGTGAGTAGCCACATCTCTGTGCCTTTACTCACCATACAAGCTTAGATGTACAGTTATGGTGAACAAAACATGTAGATATTTATATATAACGTCTGTATATAGTGAATTATAGCAAAAAAATTATTGTGGGAGGAGAATGTGGGTGAGTCAGATGACTGGAGGGAGGGCGGGAGTGGCTGGCTGGTACACGGCGGTCACTCCTCATTACTTTTTGACTCATAATAGCTACTTAGTGGTTCGTTATAGTGAACAAAACATGCAAATACTTATATATAACCTGTGCTTATAGTGTAATAACCGACAAAGTATTTGTTCACTGATTGATGAACATAATTGAATCAACAATATGCACACCACATTTTTGAGTACACCAACGATTCACTCATTTTATTATATAAATATATCAAACTACACTATTGAATAATATTACAGCAAAAAAAGTATGAAAAATCAATCGGAGACATTGAAATAATTCGGTAATTATCTCTTTGTGGCAACTCTGGCCTGACAGCTTGCGAGCAACAGACCGCCTGGGACGCACGCTGAGTCAGCGCCTATAATTTGCCAGACTTCCCCGCCCTATAGCGGGCAATATATGCCACTTACGATTTTTTTATTATTTTTCCCGTGATCAGTGAACACAAATTAACAGGTTAGAAAGAAAAAATAATTTTTTTTTTTTTCAAAATGACATGCGCCTGTGGGGATGACAGGATATTAAACCCCGAGCATGTTAAGGGTTAACCATGTCGTAGCTCGGTCGATTAAGGCAGCATCTGGGATGCTCTCGGACACAGGTTCGAATGCTCGTCACGGCCCGTGTGGATTTGTTCATTTAATGCATCACACAATTGTGATTTCTGTGTGTAATGTCGTAAAAAACTGATGATATAGGACATTGACTGCACAATGACGACACCTGGTTGATACTACAGTTGAGCGTAGGTGTTAAGGTGCCCTTAACAGAGGCTAGGGCACACTTGCGACGCAGTCAACCAGTCAACCTCTGCACACACTCTTCAACACTCACCTGGCAATAGAGTGTGAAGGCCCTCTGCTCGGTGACCTCGTTAAGGGTGCACTCTGGCATAAACGATGCATCTGGTGATGATAGCCCCACAGCGTGTGCCTGTTCGTAGGGGTTGGGATTCACCAAGTTCCTCGACTTTACCCACCATTCACGCAGAGTGAGTACTTGTGTGCGGATGTCATCTAAAGATTCATCAAAATAAATTAATCAAATGATAATTATATTAATGTAGAAGTCATATTGGTAATGAATAAATGTTTATATTGTACAACAAAATCTAACCTGTGGCCCTGATTACCTCAGGCGCGCATGCGCGCACACACACACACACACACACACATCCTAACAATCTACCAGTGGGCATACAGAATTATATGAACATGTTTGCTGATGATGCTAAGATAATAGGGAAGATAAGAAACCTAGATGATTGTCATGCTCTTCAAGAAGATCTGGACAAAATAAGTATATGGAGCACCACTTGGCAAATGGAATTTAATGTGAATAAATGCCATGTTATGGAATGTGGAATTCGAGAACATAGACCCCACACAACCTATAAATTATGTTAGAAATCTTTAAACAATTCTGACAAAGAAAGGGATCTAGAGGAGGTTCTAAATAGAAAACTGTCACCCGAGGACCACATTAAGAACTTTGTGCGAGGAGCCTATGCCACGCTTTCTAACTTCAGAATTGCTTTTAAATACATGGATTGAGAAATATTAAAGAAATTGTTCATGACATTTGTTAGACCAAAGCTAGAATATGCAGCGGTTGTATGGTGCCCATATCTTAAGAAGCACATCAACAAACTGGAAAAGGTGCAACGACATGCTACTAAGTGGCTCCCAGAACTGAAGGACGAGCTACGAGGAGAGGTTAGAGGGATAAATATGCAAAAACTAGAAGATAGAAGAAAATGAGGCGATATGATCACTACGTTCAAAATAGTAAGAGGAATCGATAAAATTGATAGGAAAAAATTCCTGAGACCTGGAATTTCAAGAACAAGAGATTTAAACTAATGAAACAAAGCTGCCAGAGAAATATAAGAAAATTCACTTTCGTAAACAGTGGTAGACGGTTGGAACAAGTTAGGCGAGAAGGTGGTGGTGGCCAAAACTGTCAGTAATTTCAAAGTGTTATATGACAAAGAGTGCTGGGAAGACGGGACACCACGAGCGTAGCTCTCATCCTGTAACTATACTTAGGTAATTACACACATATTATGTGAGAAATCTTTAAAGAATTATGATTAAAGAAGGAGATTTAGGGGTGGTTCTAGATAGAAAACTATCACCTGAGGACCACATAAAGAACGTTGTGTGAGGAGCCTATGCCACACTTTCTAACTTCAGAATTGGTTTTAAATACATGGATGGCAAAATACTGAAGAAATTGTTCATGACTTTTGTTAGGCCAAAGCTAGAATATGCATCAGTTGTGTGGTGCCCATATCTTAAGAAGCACATCACCAAACTGGAAAAGGTGCAAAGACATGCTACTAAGTGGCTCCCAGAACTGAAGGGCAAGAGCTACGAGGAGAGGTTAGAGGCATTAAATATGCCAAAACTAGAAGACAGAAGAAAAAGAGGCGATATGATCACTACGTACAAAATAGTAACAGGAATTGATAAAATCGATAGGGAAGATTTCTTGAGACCTGGAACTTCAAGAACAAGAGGTCATAGATTTAAACTAGCTAAACACAGATGCCGAAGAAATATAAGAAAATTCACTTTCACAAACAGAGTGGTAGATGGTTGGAACAAGTTAGGTGAGAAGGTGGTGGAGGTCAAGACTGTCAGTAATTTCAAAGCGTTATATGACAAAGAGTGCTGGGAAGACGGGACACCACGAGCGTAGCTCTCATCCTGTAACTATACTTAGGTAATTACACACACAGGGGCAAATGAGGGCAGACTCGCATCCATGTGTTTTCAGACACATGACTGTACCTCATTGTGCGCGCGCACATACACACACAGACACGTGATTTTTTACCCTACTTCAGTGATATGTTAGCTTTAAAGCATGCCCACATTAGTTCCGAATGGCCAGCAAATGTTGTAAACTACGGGTATACTGAAACCTTGGCCAAGAGGAAGATGGCCAGCAAATGTTGTAAACTACGGGTATACTGAAACCTTGGCCAAGAGGAAGATGGCCAGCAAATGTTGTAAACTACGGGTATACTGAAACCTTGGCCAAGAGGAAGACCAATGGTTTAAGGTAGAAACTGACAATAATCAAGAGGAATAACCTTGAGAAAACATTTTCTGAAGCACCACCTTTAATTATATAATGATAGTCTAGGGAAAATGTTGTTCAATATTACAACATTATTACATTTTTCACTTAATGCCACATTTTTTTTTTAAAACTAATCTCTTTGGTCAAACAGAAAATGTCTTGCCACCCCTAATGGATCTGTCATCTGTACAAAGGCATAGGTCTTGCCACCCCTAATGGATCTGTCATCTGTACAAAGGCATAGGTCTTGCCACCCCTAATGGATCTGTCATCTGTACAAAGGCATAGGTCTTGCCACCCCTAATGGATCTGTCATCTGTACAAAGGCATAGGTCTTGCCACCCCTAATGGATCTGTCATCTGTACAAAGGCATAGGTCTTGCCACCCCTAATGGATCTGTCATCTGTACAAAGGCATAGGTCTTGCCACCCCTAATGGATCTGTCATCTGTACAAAGGCATAGGTCTTGCCACCCCTAATGGATCTGTCATCTGTACAAAGGCATAGGTCTTGCCACCCCTAATGGATCTGTCATCTGTACAAAGGCATAGGTCTTGCCACCCCTAATGGATCTGTCATCTGTACAAAGGCATAGGTCTTGCCACCCCTAATGGATCTGTCATCTGTACAAAGGCATAGGTCTTGCCACCCCTAATGGATCTGTCATCTGTACAAAGGCATAGCAACTTGCAATGTGCAATTACTTACCAGTTATTACACAATTACTGCCTGGTTAATGGAAAATTACTGGTACTCACCAGTTAATTTATATCTTGGATTCGTTGTGACGGGAGTGACGGGGGCTGATGGATCGGAAGAAAATTTCACTACCTGCTTAGAGTCAAATACCTTCCCATGCATGTTGTCTTTAAACATCTCACACTGAAATGATTCAAACACACATGTACACTGATGACCTCCATAAACGCTCCAATTAAGTGTTAATTAAGTGCACAAGATTAAGTGTTACTCGGCCATAAGAAATCTAATATATGATTTCATCTTTGGGGGGAGAGGGGAGAAAAAAAAAAAAAAAAAAAAAAAAAAAAAAAGGTGTTAGAGAAGTTAAGAAAAGGCCTTTTCTTGGGTACCTTGAGAACTACTAAGCAAGTGGAGGAGCTGAGTGGAGGAGGAGAGCCGAGGCCACTACATACAAAATACAAAGTGCTTATCTAACCAAGAAATATACAAACCCAAGCAACCCACCTAACCCAACCTATACCTATGGAACAATATACTCTGTTGAGTAACTTGGGTTCAGTGTTACAGCTTACTGTCATGGTCCAGTGTTACAGCTTACTGTCATGGTCCAGTGTTACAGCTTACTGTCATGGTCCAGTGTTACAGCTTACTGTCATGGTCCAGTGTTACAGCTTACTGTCATGGTCCAGTGTTACAGCTTACTGTCATGGTCCAGTGTTACAGCTTACTGTCATGGTCCAGTGTTACAGCTTACTGTCATGGTCCAGTGTTACAGCTTACTGTCATGGTCCAGTGTTACAGCTGTCATGGTCCAGTGTTACAGCTGTCATGGTCCAGTGTCACAGCTTACTATCCTGGTCCAGTGTTACAGCTTACTGTCATGGTCCAGTGTTACAGCTGTCATGGTCCAGTGTCACAGCTTACTATCCTGGTCCAGTGTTACAGCTTACTGTCATGGTCCAGTGTTACAGCTGTCATGGTCCAGTGTCACAGCTTACTATCACGGTCCAGTGTTACAGCTGTCATGGTCCAGTGTTACAGCTTACTGTCATGGCTCAGTGTCACATTTTACTGTCATGTCTCAGTGTCACAGCCCAGTATCACAACTTACCAACATAAGTTTGAGGAATAAGATGTCACCAGCTTGTACTCCTCCAGGAAGATCACGATAGTTACCGTCGTTGAGGAAGACGTGAAGCAGGAGATCTTCCCTAATGGCATCTTTAGTCAGGCAGGAAGGATCAACTATGGCTAACAGTATGTGATAAGTTCCCTTGTTTGTCATCTCGGGTTGTTTCACAATGTTCTTCACCACGGCACATACATTCACCTTCTTGCCATAATGACAGTTATTTATGTTGGTCAGTTCGATCGGAACTGTCGTGTGAGTCGCAGGAAGCGCGGATTTTTGGGTTTTTGCCGGCGGTGGCAGTGGGGCAGGAGAAACTTGAGTGATGAACCACACCTGGGCATCGCTCGCTGCCTTGGCCCCTGCACGCAGACCGAACTTGCACCACCCATCCTGGTGGTGGCCGTGATACTCCTCCAGTCTTACTTGAGCAAACACGAGCCAGATTTTGGCGTCACTGTTAGCGCCTTTGAGGTATTCGTCGACTACATCGGCATGCCTGCTGTAAGCGAACACATCTATCTGAAGCCCTTGTGACCCATCCAGCAGAACTGAAACACAACGAAAGCCAAGTCAACGAGACATTAAACACCACTGCAAATGACAATTATTTAATAACCTTGATACCTCTTTCTCCTTCCCTCCCTCTCCTCCCATCTTCTTGATATCTCTCTCCAGTTGCATCTCTCATCCCACTCAATTTCAGTCCCTTTCTCACCATCTATCCTTTCACTCTCAGCATCTCTCTCACAAGACAGACTAAGATGACACATATATATATAAATCATCACACTTACAGAGGGAGAGAAACTGCACCACAACTTGTGCCAAGAAGTAGTAAATGAACACCGAGACACTATAAGCAAATGTTATATATATACAGTACTGTACACCCTAAAGTTCCATGCAAACTTCAGACACCAAAAATGCACGGACCCTAACCTCCCGCCCCCCCTCCTCCCTCACACACACACACACACACACACACACACACAAAGGACTGTGCATTAATTTCTTAAATTGCTCCAATTATTATCAGCGATTACTCCTGTGCTCAAATTGCCATATGGGATTGATCTTTATGGATTATGATTACATATATATATTTTTTCCATGAGTACCATGATGTAGAAAAATACACAATGCGATCACAATAATGTGAGACTGTATATTCATGAGAAAATCTTCGGAGGAGGCTGGTGGAGGCGAGCCATCGTCGTAAGTCGCCCGAGATGCACCTTCAATGCCATGCTTCAAAGATTCTCTCGTGATAGGGAAGTTTTAATTAGTTTTTTTTTTATCTTGAGGTTATATTGAGATGATTTCAGGGTTTAGCGTTCCTGAAGCCTCGACCAGGCCTCCTTTTCTGTTAAACATTCCCAGGAAGCAGCCCTTAGCAGCTGTCTAATTATCTGGTACCTATTTACTGCTAGGTGAACAGGCGAGCCATCGTCGTAAGTCGCCCGAGATGCACCTTCAATGCCATGCTTCAAAGATTCTCTCGTGATAGGGAAGTTTTAATTAGTTTTTTTTTTTATCTTGAGGTTATATTGAGATGATTTCAGGGTTTAGCGTTCCTGAAGCCTCGACCAGGCCTCCTTTTCTGTTAAACATTCCCAGGAAGCAGCCCTTAGCAGCTGTCTAATTATCTGGTACCTATTTACTGCTAGGTGAACAGATACATCAGGGTGAAAGAAAACTCTACCCAATTGTTTCCACCTCTGCCAGAGAACAAACCTGGAACCTTTGGACTATGAATCCCAAGCTCTGTCCACTCAGCCGTCAGGCCGTGTATGGGATGAACACATCCCCGAGCCATGTGTTCTTGGACATCATGGGGCCATTGTCATGACAAAGGCAGACAGCGTTTCTTACCTTCTCGCAAAGTCATCCGCTTCTTCATCCTACTGTTGCGTACAAACTTCTCATGGTTGTCTTGTAAGACACCCTGTTGGAAAATGTAATTACCTTTGTATTAAATTCTGTCAAACTCTCACAGTGTTTAGTAATGTTCAGTTATCCTTATACTGTAACATTTACCCTTCAATGCATGCTAATTATATCACACACAGAAAACGGGAGAAACTGATAACATTTAAGGACCTAAAATTCAAAGAAAATGTTCAAAGGAAGATGAAATCTGCAGCCATCAAAAACACCACCACCACCACCAGACACAATCAATGCATCCCTAGCATAGCTGTGCTGCATTACCAATTGTCAATTGTAGATAGGGCTAAATTGAGGTAGAAAATATTAATAACAATTACCGTTGTTGGGGACAGGAAGCCTGCACTCTCTTGGATAAGACTTATCGACATCCCTCTAGGCCAGGGGTCAGCAACCTACGGCCTGCGAGCCCCAAGTAAAATGTCACATCTACTACACGACGAAATCACAATAGCAATTTATATCTATGTGAAAATCTTTGGAGCAGAATGGAGACCAAACCAACATCCTGACTATATCCCCCTCAAGACTCACACTATACCCAGGACTCTGCTTCAATCTCTGCACTGCTCGAAAGATTTTCTCATAGATCTATCACGTTATTGTGATTTTTGTGTGCATTTGAAGGGAGCATTTGGTGGAGAAGTCTATTACCTACACCAGAGTGTATGTGGGTTGTAAGTAATAAAACGGCCATTGGCTACTAGCTCGGTAGCCAATGGAAGGACTGAGCAGGGAAGCCGTGTTCGGGCCGAGGCCGGGCCACTTGGTGGCGGTTATCGGTACTAATGAGTTCGAGCGAGTTTTGAATGAATCTATAGTCTATAGTATCATTTGAATAGTTGTTTGCCAGTTTTGAGTCGTTACTTTCTGTGAGAGCTGCAGTTGTGTGTAAAGCATTGTTGATGACCTGGATGCTTTCCCAGCGTGGTGGCAAATTGTCACTTATTTTTTGCACCTATGTGAAGGGGGCCAGGTTCTGGCTCTAGTCCTGTGTGGGGAAGGGCGGGGGCAGGTTCTGGCTCTAGTCCTGGGTGGGGAAGGGCGGGGGCAGGTTCTGGCTCTAGTCCTGTGTGAGGAAGGGCGGGGCCAGTTTCTGGCTCTAGTCCTGTGTGAGGAAGGGCAGGGGCAGGTTCTGGCTCTAGTCCTGTGTGAGGAAGAGCGGGGCCAGGTTCTGGCTCTAGTCCTGTGTGAGGAAGAGCGGGGGCAGGTTCTGGCTCTAGTCCTGTGTGAGGAAGGGCGGGGGCAGGTTCTGGCTCTAGTCCTGTGTGAGGAAGGGCGGGGGCAGGTTCTGGCTCTAGTCCTGTGTGAGGAAGGCCGGGGGCAGGTTCTGGCTCTAGTCCTGTGTGAGGAAGAGCGGGGGCAGGTTCTGGCTCTAGTCCTGTGTGAGGAAGAGCGGGGGCAGGTTCTGGCTCTAGTCCTGTGTGAGGAAGGGCAGGGGCAGGTTCTGGCTCTAGTCCTGTGTGAGGAAGGGCGGGGGCAGGTTCTGGCTCTAGTCCTGTGTGAGGAAGAGCGGGGGCAGGTTCTGGCTGGTCTAGTCCTGTGTGAGGAAGGGCGGGGGCAGGTTCTGGCTGGTCTAGTCCTGTGTGAGGAAGGGCGGGGGCAGGTTCTGGCTGGTCTAGTCCTGTGTGAGGAAGAGCGGGGGCAGGTTCTGGCTCTAGTCCTGTGTGAGGAAGGGCGGGGGCAGGTTCTGGCTCTAGTCCTGTGTGAGGAAGAGCGGGGGCAGGTTCTGGCTCTAGTCCTGTGTGAGGAAGGGCGGGGGCAGGTTCTGGCTCTAGTCCTGTGTGAGGAAGGGCGGGGGCAGGTTCTGGCTCTAGTACCCATTAGGTCCTTGTCTTACCTTGCCTTGAGGTTACCTTGATGTGTTTCCGGGGCTTAGCGTCCCTGTGGCCCGGTCGTCAACCAGGCCTCCTCGTCGCTGGACTGGTCAACCAGGCTGTTGGACGCAGCTGCTCGCAGCCTGAAGTATGAATCACAGCCTGGTTGATCAGGTATCAGGTCATGTTAATCAGGTCAAACACAACTCCTGCATCTAATGTGACCCATTAGGTGGAGATATCTCAGTGAGACAGCTTCACAGAGCCACCAGGGATCTACTAAGGAGGGACATTTCATCACATTCAATATTGGGTTTTGAGGCCTCCAACAAACATCTAGCATTTTGAAAAGTGATTTAAAATTTTTGGGACAGTTTTGCTATCTTTAGCCAAATTGTTTTTTTATAATATCAGACAACAAAAACCCTGTTTTAAATACTAATCTTCTGTGCGCATACAGGTAATCTCCTACGTAAGAGCTGATGTTTATTTAGTTCTGAATGTGGATGACTGTTGAATTGTGAGAGTATGGTCTCTCAAGATTCTCCCACAGCTGACTTGAATGGCTCATTGCGGTGCACCGTGCACCTAGTCGTGCACATGGGCCTATTTCTGTTAACCCTGGATGTAACCTGTCATGCTGGGTGTCCCCACGATGCCAACATAACCAGGAATACTTATAACAAATGGAGGCTGCCATATGCCCAAGGGTAAATTAGATACAGGGAAATTAGGCATACTTGCCATAGGGTCAGTGAGTACATAGCTGGAGGTGCCAAGCATGTGTGAGAGAGAGAGAGAGAGGCGCCGACAAGGAGAGAGATAAGCTCTGACCTCTGGGGTCAATCTCAATAACAGTGACGTGGTCGTGACGTGTTCATGATGTCACCTCTGCTACCGATCATGTAACGATCAATATTCTTGGTTCCTTTGCTGCAACGCCATTGGTCAATTGTAGACCTGGTGTTTGTGCTACCACGAGGAGCCTTGCAATCCTTTGCAATGGTATTCTCGTGAGGAAGTCGGTACATGGTTGACGTGTTCTGTCTATCGGCCAATAGACAGAAAACCGTCCATTCCTCATTAATAATAATATTAATTTATATTTGAGAAAATTCCTGTTATGAATGAACAGCATGTTAAAAATTATGAATGCACCTTTGGGGTCAACCGCTGAATGGAATGAACTGGGTCCGAGTACGGGTTGAGACATATGCACCGGGAAACTACCGAGGGGCCAGATCAATAACAGCACACAGAAGACAAAACATGAATGATACTCACAACGATGTATGTTTTAGATTCCTGCATGCCGGACTGTGCATCGTTAATACAAATGTGTTTGTAGCCAGCGGGAACAATCTTGGCAACTTGGTCTAAACTCAGCTGCTCCACTTGTGACACACGAATGCTGTCCATAATGCTGTTTTTGGCACTCTAAGAGGCCCAATATCTGAAATGTTTTAATGACAGGATATGCAAATGTAAAAATAAACAATTAAATGTAACATTTTTGTGCATATTTTAATGTTTCCAAGCAGCCTTGAGCTTTAGCCATTTCCAAAAATTTTGATTTGGGATCTTTAGTTAAAAATAATACAAAATAGTGACCAAAATCTACGTAAAAATAACAACCTACACGTGAAATGAAAGTAAAGACATTTCGGTCCATCCTGGACTCGTCAAATCACGATGACATAAGGGTCCAGGACGGACCGAAACCTTTGGCGATTACTAAACATAGTTGAAACACACCCTGGTGACAACAGTATACCCTGTTGGTGGTAGCATGCCCTAGTGGAGGCCACCCGCCCTGGGTGGAGGCCACCCGCCCTGGGTGGAGGCCACACACACCCTGGGTGGAGGCCACACACACCCTGGGTGGAGGCCACACACACCCTGGGTGGAGGCCACACACACCCTGGGTGGAGGCCACACACACCCTGGTGGAGGCCACACACACCCTGGGTGGAGGCCACACACACCCTGGGTGGAGGCCACACACACCCTGGGTGGAGGCCACACACACCCTGGGTGGAGGCCACACACACCCTGGGTGGAGGCTTCATGGCCTAGTGGCGGCCACACACCCTAGTGATGGCCGCATGCCTTGGTGGCGGTGACAGCATAATAGAGTAATGATTGGCAGCATTTAATTCATTAAAGATAATGGTGTTTGTTATTAACCTGTATAGTGCATCACATTGTTCTAATACCTTTAATCCAGAGCAAACATGAAACTTATATTGTTTAATTTCTTAAGCTCCGGATGGTGACGGGCAGCCTAAAACAGTGACCGATATTTCTCGGTTTGCTCTACAGGCCTATCTTGAGGTTAAGGTTATCTTGATTTGATGTCGGAGCTTAGCGTCCCCGCGGCCCAGTCCTCGACCAAGCCTCTATGTTATACACCCCCAGGATGCTGCCGTCTAACTCCCCAGGTACCTATTTACTGCTAGATGAACAGATGCATCAGAGTGAAAGAAACTGTCCATTTGTTTCCGCCTCCGCCAGGGATCGAACCCAGAACCTCAGGACTACAAATCCCACGTCCTGTCCACTCAGCTGTCAAGCCTAAATACATATATGCTACTGAACATTTTGACTTATATTCTTCATTTGTTTAATTGTATACTGTGTCGGTATGATTTACACATGTAAGCTCCTCTTAACTATACTACATGTGCAAATGTCATGTGATAATCACGCAAAATTTGTGTTTTGTAGGTACAGTACCAGTGTACATAGCAGTGTAGTCAACTGTATACTGATCAACTATCAACTTTTCTTCAGTTTGTTCAATACAAATATTTGATTTAATACCATTAAGTATGAAAGCCCTGAAAGGTCAGCACTGTATTTAGCCAAAAAGACATGAAATGAAGGGGAGGTATAATACACTCATAACAGGATGATAAGACATGAGGAAACATCAGAAGCATTATTTGCACATACAACACAGTTCCAGTGTATACATGATCTCATTCATTGATACATTCTAACCTATGTTTACACAGTTCCAGTGTATACATGACCTCATTCATTGACACATTCTAACCTATGTTTACACAGTTCCAGTGTATACACGACCTCATTCATTGATACATTCTAACCTATGTTTACACAGTTCCAGTGTATACATGACCTCATTCATTGATACATTCTAACCTATGTTTACACAGTTCCAGTGTATACACGACCTCATTCATTGATACATTCTAACCTATGTTTACACAGAACCAGTGTATACATGACCTCATTCATATATATATGTCCTAACCTTCATTCTAAACAATACAACAATCCCACACTTATTATGTTACTCAGTTGACCAGACCACACACTAGACAGTGAGGAGACGAAATCGTTTCGGTCCGTCCTGGACCATTATCAAGTCGATTGTGCTACTCAGAAATTTAGCCTTATTCCCAAACCAATTTCATTTCCAATTCAGTCTTGAACCTACAATTATATTCAGTTGTTATTCCAATTCAGCTCTTAGTTTCAATTCAGTTTTTAATCTAAACCAATTCAGTTTTTAATAAAAAAAAATCCATAGTTTATATCCACTGTTTTGGACTGTTTGTGTCGATATATATAGCACACTAGTAACAATCAGTGTGTCATCAAAATTGTCACACTGTAAAAATCACTACTTTTTGTTTTGATGTGAATGAATGCAAGCGTTTTTTTTATGAAAAGGAAGAGCTATATTTACAAATAAGAAAAACAAAAACAAAATTGATCTTATTTATATTGGTCTGCCATAGTGGTTAGCATTTCTTCTCACATTTATCAGCATCACTTTGTGATGAACTAGAACCGTAACAAAGATAAAATCATGAAATACATTGAAAAGTAAGGAGTCTGTATGCCCATGTCAAATGAACACTGTACCAAAAGAAATATATATATGCAGGCGATGAGTCACAATAAAGTGGCTAAAGTATGTTTATCAGACCACACACTAGGAGGTGAAGGGATGACGATGTTTTGGTCTGTCCTGGATCATTCTCAATCGACTTGAGAATGGTCCAGGACGGACCAAAACGTCGTCGTCCCTTCACCTTCTAGTGTGTGGTCTGGTCAACAATCATTACTATGTAATGATGTGGAATCAGATGAAATGTCTGATTCTAAAGTATTTGGTTTGTCTCCCAGGACTGGTGGGGGGGGGGGGGGAGACACAGTGAGCTACTGGAACCGTATGGGCAATGGTATTCAAACATAGGCACAAGACATAAATCATTCTATGACGATGATCGCACCGCATTTAAACAGTTAACATGTGATAAAACTTACTCTGAGGGTTAATATCCTCCTGTTATTCTTTCTCAACCATTTGCATTCTTCAATCAGATCACCTCTTAAGCTTCACCTTTCTAGAAAATGTAAATTAAGCTTCCTTAATCTCTCTCTCTAAAAAAGGGGTTTATTACATTTGCAGAATATTAAGCCACTTCATTATACACACACACACACACACACATATATAATATATATATTAATATACATTGCACCTACAGATGCGAATGATTTTTTTTTTTTTTAATAAAAGTTTCTTCTTAGAATACATACTATTGGGGTTGGTGCAAATATATAATGTAAATGAATTAATCAGATTTTAGTACCAATAACATACTTTAGAGAGCTGAATACTGGGACCTCTTCCTGAACCTAACCTAATTTAATATTGGTTAATCTAAATCCAATCAAAACCTTGCTTAACTTAATTTTACCAAAACCTTGCCTAACCCAATTAAAACCTCTCCTAACCCAAACAAATCCCTGCCTAACCCAACCAAAACCTCGTCTAATCAAACCAAATCCTCGCCTAACCCAACCAAATCCTCGCCTAATCCAACCAAATCCTTGCCTAATCCAACCAAATCCTTGCCTAACCCAACCAAAACCTCGTCTAATCAAACCAAATCCTCGCCTAACCCAACCAAAGCCTCGCCTAACCCAACCAAAACCTGGCCTAACCCAACCAAATCCTTGCCTAACCCAACAAAAACCTCATCTAACCCAACCAAATCGCCTGTGCCAGTTAACTCTTCCCCAATGGGCACAAACTGCCAACGCTGGAGACCTCGATACAACGTTATTCATCGACTCTGGCCATCGCCGATACTTGGAAAAAGCCTCGTAATTACCGTTCATGGGACCCTCAGCGCCCAACAGGTGTGTCTTGGTGTTCGTGTGGACAAGATGTGACCCGCTCGCCTTCCTCACAAGTTCAAAGTTGTGAAGTTCGACAACATAAACAATCAACGAAAAAACTTTAATGTTGGCGCTATACGTAAGAAAAGAATTAACCTTTCACGCTCTAAACATTAATAAAATATATTGTTTGTAACAGAGAAGATAGTAAGGTAAATAGAAAAGTATTAAAGAATAGTTACAACACATGTGTAGGAAGGAAGGGCGAGACGCTCGCTTGACCACTTCCCTCCTCCAGATAAACAAAACATCGACGCCATTTTCACATCGTCTCAGGTGAGTCTGGCCGTCAGTTCTCCTGATTTACCACCGCCTCAGCTGTCTCGCGGCTCTCTTGCCCTCCTGGCGGCCTCCGGGGCTGCCCTGGGAGCGACAAACTGCCACAAATACCCAACTTGAGACAATGTTATGGGTGGAGGTTGACGTAGTGTGGGATAGACTCACTTCAGCTGTGGAGGCTCGGTTCCCAGTCATCCCGGCGGCCGAACGAGTCTCCGCTCGCTAGCTCCTCAACTACCTCATTCACCCCCTCATGGGAGTAATTATGGCGGGTAGTTGGCACAATATCGCCCTAGTTTCATGGGGAATGTACCACAACGACCACCGGTGGCACCTCTGTGACCTCATTCACCTCCCTCATGGGGGTGATTATAGGGGTAATGGGGACAATATCGCGGGAGTTACATGGGGGGATGAACCCTGTCCAGCCATCGTTAGCACCTCTATGACCTGAATTACCCAATTACGCGGGAAATTGGCATGATATCTTTATCGTCTAATATGTATTGTGTGTTGCTGTTGCAGATGAATAATGAACAATGTTCTACATTGTAACGATGTGTTGCATGTGATTGATGAACGCTATTGTGTTGAATGTGATTGATGAACACTATTGTGTTGCATGTGATGAACACTATTGTGTTGCATATTAATGATAAACACTACTGTGTTGCTGGTAAATGATCACTGTATATTGTGTTGCAGGTAAATGATCACTGTTGTGTTGCTGGTAAATGATCACTGTTGTGTTGCTGGTAAATGATCACTGTTGTGTTGCTGGTAAATGATCACTGTTGTGTTGCAGGTAAATGATCACTGTTGTGTTGCTGGTAAATGATCACTGTATATTGTGTTGCAGGTAAATGATCACTGTTGTGTTGCTGGTAAATGATCACTGTTGTGTTGCTGGTAAATGATTACTGTTGTGTTGCTGGTAAATGATCACTGTATATTGTGTTGCAGGTAAATGATCACTGTTGTGTTGCTGGTAAATGATCACTGTTGTGTTGCAGGTAAATGATCACTGTTGTGTTGCTGGTAAATGATCACTGTATATTGTGTTGCAGGTAAATGATCACTGTTGTGTTGCTGGTAAATGATCACTGTTGTGTTGCTGGTAAATGATTACTGTTGTGTTGCTGGTAAATGATCACTGTATATTGTGTTGCAGGTAAATGATCACCGTTGTGTTGCTGGTAAATGATCACTGTTGTGTTGCTGGTAAGTGATCACTGTTGTGTTGCTGGTAAATGATCACTGTTGTGTTGCTGGTAAATGATCACTGTATATTGTGTTGCAGGTAAATGATCACTGTTGTGTTGCTGGTAAATGATCACTGTTGTGTTGCTGGTAAATGTAAATGATCACTGTTGTGTTGCTGGTAAATGTAAATGATCACTGTTGTGTTGCTGGTAAATGATCACTGTTGTGTTGCTGGTAAATGAATACTGTTGTGTTGCTGGTAAATGGTCACTGTTGTGTTGCTGGTAAATGATCACTGTTGTGTTGCTGGTAAATGATCACTGTTGTGTTTCTGGTAAATGATCACTGTTGTGTTGCTGGTAAATGTAAATGATCACTGTTGTGTTACTGGTAAATGATCACTGTTGTGTTGCTGGTAAATGATCACTGTTGTGTTGCTGGTAAATGGTCACTGTTGTGTTGCTGGTAAATGGTCACTGTTGTGTTGCTGGTAAATGATCACTGTTGTGTTGCAGGTAAATGATCACTGTTGTGTTGCAGGTAAATGATCACTGTTGTGTTGCAGGTAAATGATCACTGTTGTGTTGCAGGTAAATGATCACTGTTGTGTTGCTCTTAAATGATCACTGTTGTGTTGCAGGTAAATGATCACTGTATATTGTGTTGCAGGTAAATGATCACTGTTGTGTTGCTGGTAAATGATCACTGTTGTGTTGCAGGTAAATGATCACTGTATATTGTGTTGCAGGTAAATGATCACTGTTGTGTTGCTAGTAAATGATCACTGTTGTGTTGCTGGTAAATGATCACTGTTGTGCTGCAGGTAAATGATCACTGTTGTGTTGCTGGTAAATGATCACTGTTGTGTTGCTGGTAAATGATCACTGTATATTGTGTTGCAGGTAAATGATCACTGTTGTGTTGCTGGTAAATGATCACTGTTGTGTTGCAGGTAAATGATCACTGTATATTGTGTTGCAGGTAAATGATCACTGTTGTGTTGCTAGTAAATGATCACTGTTGTGTTGCTGGTAAATGATCACTGTTGTGTTGCAGGTAAATGATCACTGTATATTGTGTTGCAGGTAAATGATCACTGTTGTGTTGCTGGTAAATGATCACTGTTGTGTTGCTGGTAAATGATCACTGTTGTGTTGCTGGTAAATGATCACTGTTGTGTTGCTGGTAAATGATCACTGTTGTGTTGCTGGTAAATGATCACTGTTGTGTTGCTGGTAAATGATCACTGTTGTGTTGCTGGTAAATGATCACTGTTGTGTTGCTGGTAAATGATCACTGTTGTGTTGCTGGTAAATGATCACTGTATATTGTGTTGCTGGTAAATGATCACTGTTGTGTTGCTGGTAAATGATCACTGTTGTGTTGCTGGTAAATGATCACTGTTGTGTTGCTGGTAAATGATCACTGTTGTGTTGCTGGTAAATGATCACTGTATATTGTGTTGCAGGTAAATGATCACTGTTGTGTTGCTGGTAAATGATCACTGTTGTGTTGCAGGTAAATGATCACTGTATATTGTGTTGCAGGTAAATGATCACTGTTGTGTTGCTGGTAAATGATCACTGTTGTGTTGCTGGTAAATGATCACTGTTGTGTTGCTGGTAAATGATCACTGTTGTGTTGCTGGTAAATGATCACTGTTGTGTTGCTGGTAAATGATCACTGTTGTGTTGCTGGTAAATGATCACTGTTGTGTTGCTGGTAAATGATCACTGTATATTGTGTTGCTGGTAAATGATCACTGTTGTGTTGCTGGTAAATGATCACTGTATATTGTGTTGCTGGTAAATGATCACTGTTGTGTTGCTGGTAAATGATCACTGTTGTGTTGCTGGTGAATGATCACTGTTGTGTTGCAGGTAAATGATCACTGTATATTGTGTTGCTGGTAAATGATCACTGTTGTGTTGCTGGTAAATGATCACTGTATATTGTGTTGCTGGTAAATGATCACTGTTGTGTTGCTGGTAAATGATCACTGTTGTGTTGCTGGTAAATGATCACTGTTGTGTTGCTGGTAAATGATCACTGTTGTGTTGCAGGTAAATGATCACTGTTGTGTTGCTGGTGAATGATCACTGTTGTGCTGCAGGTAAATGATCACTGTTGTGTTGCTGGTAAATGATCACTGTTGTGTTGCTGGTAAATGATCACTGTTGTGTTGCTGGTAAATGATCACTGTTGTGCTGCAGGTAAATGATCACTGTTGTGTTGCTGCTGATCACTGTTGTGTTGCTGGTAAATGATCACTGTTGTGTTGCTGGTAAATGATCACTGTTGTGTTGCTGGTAAATGATCACTGTTGTGTTGCTGGTAAATGATCACTGTTGTGTTGCTGGTAAATGATCACTGTTGTGTTGCTGGTAAATGATCACTGTTGTGTTGCTGGTAAATGATCACTGTTGTGTTGCTGGTAAATGATCACTGTTGTGTTGCTGGTAAATGATCACTGTTGTGTTGCAGGTAAATGATCACTGTTGTGTTGCTGGTGAATGATCACTGTTGTGTTGCTGGTAAATGATCACTGTTGTGTTGCTGGTAAATGATCACTGTTGTGTTGCTGGTAAATGATCACTGTTGTGTTGCTGGTAAATGATCACTGTTGTGCTGCAGGTAAATGATCACTGTTGTGTTGCTAGTAAATGATCACTGTTGTGTTGCAGGTAAATGATCACTGTTGTGTTGCTGGTAAATGATCACTGTTGTGTTGCTGGTAAATGATCACTGTTGTGTTGCTGGTAAATGATCACTGTTGTGCTGCAGGTAAATGATCACTGTTGTGTTGCTAGTAAATGATCACTGTTGTGTTGCAGGTAAATGATCACTGTTGTGTTGCAGGTAAATGATCACTGTTGTGTTGCTAGTAAATGATCACTGTTGTGTTGCAGGTAAATGATCACCGTTGTGTTGCTGGTAAATGATCACTGTTGTGCTGCAGGTAAATGATCACTGTTGTGTTGCTGGTAAATGATCACTGTTGTGTTGCTGGTAAATGATCACTGTTGTGTTGCTGGTAAATGATCACTGTTGTGCTGCAGGTAAATGATCACTGTTGTGTTGCAGGTAAATGATCACTGTTGTGTTACTGGTAAATGATCACTGTTGTGCTGCAGGTAAATGATCACTGTTGTGTTGCAGGTAAATGATCACTGTTGTGTTGCAGGTAAATGATCACTGTTGTGTTGCTGGTAAATGATCACTGTTGTGCTGCAGGTAAATGATCACTGTTGTGCTGCAGGTAAATGATCACTGTTGTGTTGCAGGTAAATGATCACTGTTGTGTTGCAGGTAAATGATCACTGTTGTCTTGCAGGTAAATGATCACTGTTGTGTTGCAGGTAAATGATCACTGTTGTGTTGCAGGTAAATGATCACTGTTGTGTTGCTGGTAAATGATCACTGTTGTGTTGCAGGTAAATGATCACTGTTGTGTTGCAGGTAAATGATCACTGTTGTTGCTAGTAAATGATCACTGTTGTGTTGCTGGTAAATGATCACTGTTGTGTTGCTGGTAAATGATCACTGTTGTGCTGCAGGTAAATGATCACTGTTGTGTTGCAGGTAAATGATCACTGTTGTGTTGCAGGTAAATGATCACTGTTGTGTTGCTGGTAAATGATCACTGTTGTTGCTAGTAAATGATCACTGTTGTGTTGCTGGTAAATGATCACTGTTGTTGCTAGTAAATGATCACTGTTGTGTTGCTGGTAAATGATCACTGTTGTGTTGCTGGTAAATGATCACTGTTGTGTTGCAGGTAAATGATCACTGTTGTGTTGCAGGTAAATGATCACTGTTGTGTTGCAGGTAAATGATCACTGTTGTGTTGCAGGTAAATGATCACTGTTGTGTTGCTGGTAAATGATCACTGTTGTGTTGCTGGTAAATGATCACTGTTGTGTTGCAGGTAAATGATCACTGTTGTGTTGCAGGTAAATGATCACTGTTGTGTTGCTGGTAAATGATCACTGTTGTGTTGCTGGTAAATGATCACTGTTGTGTTGCAGGTAAATGATCACCGTTGTGTTGCTGGTAAATGATCACTGTTGTGTTGCTGGTAAATGATCACTGTTGTGTTGCAGGTAAATGATCACTGTTGTGTTGCTGGTAAATGATCACTGTTGTGTTGCTGGTAAATGTAAATGATCACTGTTGTGTTGCAGGTAAATGATCACTGTTGTGTTGCTGGTAAATGATCACTGTTGTGTTGCAGGTAAATGATCACTGTTGTGTTGCTGGTAAATGATCACTGTTGTGTTGCTGGTAAATGATCACTGTTGTGTTGCTGGTAAATGATCACTGTTGTGTTGCTGGTAAATGATCACTGTTGTGTTGCTGGTAAATGTAAATGATCACTGTTGTGTTGCTGGTAAATGATCACTGTTGTGTTGCAGGTAAATGATCACTGTTGTGTTGCAGGTAAATGATCACTGTTGTGTTGCTGGTAAATGATTACTGTTGTGTTGCTAGTAAATGATCACTGTTGTGTTGCTGGTAAATGATTACTGTTGTGTTGCAGGTAAATGATCACTGTTGTGTTGCTGGTAAATGATCACTGTTGTGTTGCTGGTAAATGATCACTGTTGTGTTGCTGGTAAATGATCACTGTTGTGTTGCAGGTGATTGATGAACACTATTGCATTGCAGATGAATAATGAACATTATATTGTGTCCCCAGATGAATAATGAGCATTATATTGTCCCAGATGAATAATGAGCATTATATTGTCCCAGATGAATAATGAGCATTATATTGTCCCAGATGAATAATGAGCATTATATTGTGTCCCAGATGAATAATGAGCATTATATTGTGTCCCAGATGAATAATGAGCATTATATTGGGTCCCAGATGAATAATGAGCATTATATTGTGTCCCAGATGAATAATGAGCATTATATTGTGTCCCAGATGAATAATGAACATTATATTGTGTCCCAGATGAATAATGAGCATTATATTGTGTCCCAGATGAATAATGAGCATTATATTGTGTCCCAGATGAATAATGAACATTATATTGTGTCCCAGATGAATAATGAACATTATATTGTGTCCCAGATGAATAATGAGCATTATATTGTGTCCCAGATGAATAATGAGCATTATATTGTGTCCCCAGATGAATAATGAACATTATATTGTGTCCCAGATGAATAATGAACATTATATTGTGTCCCAGATGAATAATGAACATTATATTGTGTCCCAGATGAATAATGAACATTATATTGTGTCCCAGATGAATAATGAACATTATATTGTGTCCCCAGATGAATAATGAACATTATATTGTGTCCCAGATGAATAATGAAGTATTGTGTTGCAGGTGAATAATGAACAATGTGGTCGGTGAGGAGGAGACTGGAGGCCAACACCTTTTGTCACTACGACCGCTTGCTCATGCCTCCACCGGTCACATGAGAGCATCCCATAGCACCCTCGGGCAGGAGGAGGAGGAGGTGGTCACCCTCGAGGAGACTGACGGGGACCCACTCTTGCTGTGTCCCATGGATGACAGCCGTGTCATCTGTCAGTCGTCAGCGCACCTGCGCCAGCACCATCTCCCCGTCGATGCTACTCTCACCTATGCCACCCTCGACTCTCGAGGCAACATTGTGCTCCAGCAGTTCAAAAGTGAGACTCATGGCCAGTCTTCCCAGGAAGATATGGAGATGGATGGCACCAAAGGTGGAGGCACCGATGGGGTCGCCGACGCACACAGGAGTGCCGCTGCTACTGGAGGGCCAAGACTAGTGGTGGTCGGAGAAGGCGGCTTGGGAGATGCCATGACCTACATTTACATCCAAGGAGAGGCAGAGTCTGTGGAAGATGGCAACGAGATGGAAGCAAGCGATGCTCACACCATCACCTTGAATTCTGCTGACGGTTCGACACTGCAGACGCTGCCTGCCGCTTACACCCAGCACCTGGAGCACACCTATGGGGATCTGGTGGTAGTTGGAGGAGATGGCGGAAGCAACAGTGACACCGGTGGCCTGAGTGATGGGAGAGCTGTCAGTGCAACCCTACAAGAAGTGACAGCATCCGGCACTGATAGTCAGCAAGATGAGCAAGTATTACTTCTGTCGGTGGCACCGCTCAAGTTAGAAGATGAGAGTGAGCAGCCAACAATATCCTTGCCATCATCATCACAGGAGACCATTCAATGCCAGGAGCCCCAACCCACCTCTGTCATCATGGACAATGTTGTACCTAGCGGGCGAAGTCGCCGCGAAGGTGGCCATAGGGATGACACTTTTCCCGACGACGAGACTAGCATAGAAGCCCGGCTGGCCACGCGCGACGCCTTGCTTCCCCCTCGCCGCAGCCGTCGTTGTGGTGACCCCAGTAAACTCACCTGCCCCATCTGCCACTCCCATTTCAAATCGGCTCGACATTACCACAGCCACCTGCACGTACATAGAGGCCAGGGCTTGTGGCACTGTGATATATGTGAGTACACCTGTGATTCAGCTGTTGAGTTAAGGCTACACAAAACACAGCTGCATCAAGATGCTCGGCCCTTCAAGTGCCCCAACTGCCACCTGAGCTTTCCGAAGAGTCTGATGCTCGAGGATCACATACGGAATGTCCATAACAAAGAGCGACCTTACACCTGCTCCTTTTGCACCAAAGGATTCTATCGTCCTCATGACCTGAAGATGCACCTCAACCTGCACCTGGGGATCAAAAGTAATGTGTGCCACATATGTGGACGCCAGTTCAGCCACCCCTCCAACCTTATCCGTCACCAGCGTCTACACACTGGTATCAAGCCGTATGTATGCGCCACATGTGGGAAGCGTTTCACACAGGTGACTCTCCTGCACAAGCATCGAACAACTCACCAGCCCGGAGCTGGGGTGTGTTCACTGTGCCCCTCCACTTTCCGCAGTGCGGCTGGACTAAGGAAACATTCCAAGTTAGAACACAAGAAGCCAATGACGCTGCAAGAAGCTGCACGCATCATCCGCGGACAGCGAGGGGCAGCTGGACGAAGCTATTACTGCCGAGTATGTGGTGCCCAATTCTCTCTGAAGTCAGAACTGAAGGACCATGAAGAAGAGGAGCACAGCAAGAACACACAGCATGCATGTGCATCCTGTAATAAAGTTTATTCTATCTCTGAAGTTAAGACCCACACATGCCTCACTGCCGAGGAAGAAGAACAGAGGAACCGTCTGTGTAGCCCGCCGCGTTCTGTATCTCCAGAAGCCACTATAACAGCCATAGCTTCTACCTCAATGATGCGATCACCTGGTGGCAACAACTCCAAGGATCAGGAGGAGGCTGAAGAGGAGGAAGAAGAATACTTAGTCATGTACATTACACCAGAAGGAGAAAGCGTTTCATACGTGATGAAAAAAGGTAGCAAAGTGTCTCGAGATGCAGTCCTTCAAGTGGACGCACCAAGGACTGACCAGCTGCACGAAGATGGCTTTTCTCGACCAACACTGCCTGAAGAGACGATCATGATAAATGTGCAAGAACGTCCCCTTCTCCCCCATGACAGCGACGACCACACCATCATACACTGTCCCGAGGGCCAGGATGACATTCTAGCACCTCGCAATGGACACTTGTCAGACCTCAATGATGATAACCCTGATTCACCTATGGCAGTACATAGCATAAAATTAGAGCCCCAAACCTCAGATGATATGTCCACAAATCCCACTGGCCTAATGTCTAAGTCTCTATTGCCATTTGGCATTCCAAATATCATGCCCGATGCATCAAAAATGCAAAAGAAATCCATCCTACAACCTATCTCCATTAAAGGCAAAGCCGAGGAGCTTGAAATTAAGAAGGAACACCTTGAGAGCGGGACAGAAACCAAGGAAGATGCGAGCACGCTGGATGCCCTGAGGTGCAAGGACTGTGGCAAGACATTCCAGAAGCAGTGGAACTACCAGCAGCACATTGCCACCCATGACGCCTCACTACACAGGTACAAGTGTGGCCTGTGCACCCTCACCTTTGCCTACCGCTCCACCCTTAACAGGCACATTGAGAAGCATCGCTCTAATCACCAGCTTCATCAATGTAAACAGTGCAGTAAGGTATGTTGCTGCTGTCTGGCTTTGTTGCTCTTGTTCAATTGTCATTCATCTGTTTACTGGGACACAACTATCTAAGCCAGCTGCTTCCCTTCTTAGTGGGTCTTGCTTTGGTGTGGGGCTCTTGTGCACCGCCCTCAGATAGGTACAGGTGGCTTCTCTTTACAACCTGTGCCACTGCCCTCAGTTCATTTCCTCCCTCTCTCTCTTCTTCCTAATGTTATTTTGACAAATAATACTGGAAACTTTACCACCTTTGCCAGCACAGTATTCCTTGGACATCTTGATCTTCCTTTCCCTCATTTCCTTCCTCTCCTTATCCTACTTGATGCTGCCCTTAATTTTGTCTCCCACAACATGATTAAATGCATTCTTTGGTGACATTTTAATCGTGCTAATTGGAAAAAGATTTGCAACGTTGTGGGCAAATTTGGTCTTGATATACCGATTCATTCATAATCATAGTTCGATTGTTTCTGCCAGTGTCAGTTGCGAATGAACTCGATTTGAACTTCTTGGCCATTAACATAATTGATAGTGATGTGTTGTGTGTGTGAATCTACCCGATTTACCTGATGGCCACTAATCCTAGTAGTCTCGATGAGGACAGGAAGCCGGGAGCTTGTCGAAGGTCCCCCCCCCCACTTTTGCCTTGATGATATACAGTACAGTACTGGTACCTGTTTCTTGTAACCCGGGACATTTGGTCACGGTGTCATATAACCCGGGACATTTCTCCAGCCTGGATTGGCTGACATCACTGTGACATCATCCTATATAAGGGTCTCGGCAGCAGTCAGGTTCGTTCTCGACGCACAATCGTGAATTCCGAGTTCGAATCCTGGACGGGACAGAAATGGATAGGCACATTTCATTTCACCTAAAGCCTCTGTTCACCTAGCAGTGAGTAGCTACTCGGGTGTTAGTCAGCTTGTTGTGGGGTTGCATCCTGGGCGGGGCCAGTAATTTGGCCTGAGGGGGTGGGGGGGGAGGGAGACCTCGATAAAAGTCAAATGTGTATGAATACACTCTGGCTTCCTGCCCCTCAGGGGGGCCTGACAACTGAGTGGACAGCACTCGGGATGCGTAGTCCCAAGGTACCGGGTTTGATCCCAGGTAGAGATGGGAACAAATGGGCAGAGAGTTTCTTTTACCCCTGATGTACCTGTTCACCTAGCAGTAAATAGGTACCTGGGAGTTACAGCTGCTATGGGCTGCTTCCTGGGGATGTGTTAACAAAAAGGAGGCCTGGTCGAGGACCGGGCCACTGGGATGCTAAGCCCCGAAATCATCTCAAGATAACCCTTGACACAATGAATTATTATTATTATGAATTATAAGACCTGAGACAGTAAAAATTCATCACTGTGACATAAAACATACCTTTCTTCAATACATCCCAGGGTGCTTTAATTTGGTGTCTTCCACAGGCGTACAAGTGTCTCTCCTCCTTGAAGCAGCACCATAAACGTGATCACATGCTCCAGCGACCTTTTGTGTGCGATCTCTGTGGAAAAGATTTTTTCAGCAAGAGTGACTTCAAATACCACATGAGGCAAGTTGGGCAATAATCTTTCCCCCCCCCCCCTCCCTGGTTAATATCCTTGAGTCCCCCACACTGGAAACCACTATCAAGGTATGGGTAAAATCAGGGAGCTCTCACCTGTAACAAGAATCAAATCTATTTGGTCAATTGTGCCACTAAAATATGTTTGCAAGAAATTTGTTCACAGCAAGTCCATAATTTGATGACCAGACCACACACTAGAAGGTGAAGGGACGACGACGACGTTTCGGTCCCTCCTGGACCATTCTCAATCGACTTGAGAATGGTCCAGGACGGACCGAAACGTCGTTGTCTCTTCACCTTCTAGTGTGGTCTGGTCAACTTACTTTAGCCACGTTATTGTGACTCATCACCTGCAAGTCCATACTTTCTTTTTGGTTTCTGATTATTTCTTAAGTCAATAATTTAGGAATTATTGGTTCAATATTTACTTTAACCAAGCAAAACTCCTATCAGAGTGAAAACCAGCATATGATTTCCTTCCAAATAGATCCCATTGACTTTCCCACACCCATAACTTACTTAAGCAAGATTTTTCATTAGATTTTGTAGGGGTTCTAATTAATTAAACTAATACAGCACTATATTTAAGGAGATATGTCTGCACATCCATACTCGGGGGGGAAAAACACTTGTGGCATCTCCAGTGAGCCAAACTTATAATTTTATATATATTAATTATATATATATATATACATACACACACATACATATACACATACACACACATACATACATAGAAAAACTAGCCATTAGAAAAATCTCACCTTTCATAGGAAGCAGAATAACTGGGATGAGGTCATCCTATTACAGTATTCAGTTAAGCCAACACCTATTTAATTTCACCAGAAATGATTGTTGCACCCATAACTGGCATTACCTGAATCCGTCGAGTACATCTAGTCAATATTGTGGGCTGGCCATGTGTAGCTCCCCCGGCACACTGGCTTTTCTACCACAGAAACTGCCACAAAACTACCAGGCCAGACTTCCAATATTCGACATTATGTTTTATAAATTCTGTGTTGTTTCATCCATTTTTTGTATGTATTTGTAGACATGGGCTGCTGAGCATTGTTCAGTCAACCTACAGCCAGGCTCTGTAATTTGCATTTTGGCCGATTCGAGTTACCCAGAGATTTGAGTTTGGTCCGAGTCTGGAGCAGTCAAACCTTCCAGAAGTGACACACAATATGGACAATCATTCATATTTGCAAATATTCAAGGTTTAAAGCCAAAGTCAAGAAATAGTTAAGTTCATAAATGGCCTACTATTAAGAGTCAAACTCAATATTTGGGGGCATTCACGGAAACTCATACGAAAGATTACATGGATGGTGAAATCTGGATTCCAAATTATAATTTATATAGATGTGATAGAAAAACTAGGTCAAATGGAGGAGTAGGTCTGTATATTAAAGAGGACCTGGTATGTACAGAACTACTAAACTCAACTAATGAGGTGGTAGAGGTACTTGGAATTAAGGTAGAGAAACTAAACCTAATTATTATTCTAATATATAAACTGCCAGATACAACGGTTGAGGAATTCACAGAGCAGATGCACAGAATAGAGAACATATTTGATAACCTAGCAAACCCAGCTCCAAATATTATCTTCTTTGGAGATTTCAATTTACCGAGTCTAAGATGGAGAATGACAAACACAAATATCATAGCAGGGAATGACCCGGGAAGTAACCAACCACAGGTCAGAGAACTTTTGAGATTCTGTGACAAATTCTCGCTCAATCAACAGATTACAGAACCAACTAGGAATGAAAACACACTAGACTTGTTATTCACAAACAATGATGAACTAATCAGAGACATTACAATCTCAGATACTTCATACTCAGACCATAAGCTCATTGAAGTGCGAACTAGCATAAATAACGGTAGTAGGTCTAAGAGATCCAACAAGCGAGAAGGAATATTCAATCAATTCAATTTCAACAATAAGAGGACCGACTGGGAAAAAATAAATGTAGACCTTGCAACCATTCAGTGGGAGACGGTCTTAAGCGACAAAACTCCTACACAGGGAATAGCTCAACTGAAAGCTGAAGCTTACAAGGTCTGCTTGAAGCACGTGCCTGTGAGGAGGGGCAGAAAGAGGACCACTCTAGAAAGAGAACACAGACGACTGTACAGAAGGAAAAAAATAATGGAAATGCTTTGGCAGACACAACTATCACAAGCAAGGAAAATAAGCTTATGCAGGGAGATCGAAGAAATAGAACAAACGTTGAAGCGATCATATGAGTCTGAGGAAATGGAATTGGAACAGAAAGCTATACAAGAGATAAAGAAAAATAAGAAATATTTTTTCACATACACAAAATCAAAATAAAAAACCTCGACTAGTATTGAACCCGTTAATTACAAATGAAGGTACGTACACAGAGGACAACAAAAAGATTAGTGAAATTCTAAGAAGCCAGTATGAGGCTATGTTTAGCACACCAATAAACAACATGAAAGTTGATGACCCAGACAGCTTCTTTATGAATGACATTCAAGCTGCAGATAATATAACGGATATTACCACAAACTCGGAAGACTTTGAAAGAGAAATTGACAATATGCCTATGCACTCAGCTTCTGGGCCTGACTCATGGAATTCAATATTCATAAAGAAATGTAAAGTACCAGTAGCGAGAGCACTCGGCATAATATGGAGAAAGAGCCTGGATACAGGGGAGATACCAGCAGCACTTAAATCTGCAGATATAGCTCCGTTGCACAAGGGGGGAGTAAAGCCTTGGCAAAAAATTATAGGCCAGTTGCACTAACATCACACATAATAAAAGTGTTTGAAAGAATGATTAGGAATCAAATTTCTAGTTTTATGGAAAACAATGAATTCCACAACCCAGAACAACATGGATTTAGAGCGGGAAGATCCTGTCTGTCACAGTTACTCAACCACTATGACAAAATCACAGAAGCCCTAGAAGAAAAGCAAAATGCAGATGTTGTATACACAGACTTTGCAAAGGCGTTCGACAAATGTGACCATGGGGTGATAGCTCACAAAAGTAGGTCAGTGGGAATAACTGGAAAAGTAGGACGCTGGATACTCAATTTCCTGTCGAACAGAACACAAAGAGTAACAGTCAATCAAATAAAATCGAGTCCAGGCGATGTTAAAAGCTCTGTACCTCAAGGTACAGTCCTTGCACCGCTACTGTTCCTTATTCTCATATCAGATATAGAAAAAAATACACGTCACAGCTTCGTGTCGTCCTTTGCAGATTACACAAAAATCAGCATGAAAATTACCTCTGCTGAAGACATTGAAAAACTAGAAGCAGATGTCAACAAAGTTTTCGATTGGGCAGCAGAAAATAACATGATGTTTAACAGTGATAAATTTCAGGTACTCAGGTACAGCAAAAATGAGGATCTGAAACATAATACAGGGTACAAAACACAATCGAATCTTCCCAGAGTAGAAAAACAGCATGTCAAGGATTTGGGAATAATGATGTCCGACGATCTAACGTTTAGGGAGCATAACCAAGTAAATATTGCGTCAGCCAGAAAAATGATCGGATGGATTACGAGAACTTTCAAATCCAGGGATCCCATCACAATGGTTGTACTCTTCAAGTCACTTGTGTTGTCCCGTCTTGAGTACTGCTCAGTACTCACTCCCCCTTTCAGAGCAGGAGAGATTGCTGAAATAGAGGGAATACAGAGAACATGTACAGCACGCATAAACGAGATAAAACACCTAAATTATTGGGATGGTCTCAAAGCTCTCCAAATGTACTCTCTAGAAAGGAGACGAGAGAGATACCAAATAATATACACATGGAAAATACTGGAGGGCCAGGTCCCAAATCTACACAGTAAAATAACAACATACTGGAGTGAATGATATGGAAGAAAATGCAGAATAGAACCAGTGAAGAGCAGAGGTGCCACAGACACAATCAGAGAGCACTGTATAAACATCAGAGGTCCGCGGTTGTTCAACGTCCTCCCAGCGACTATAAGAAATATTGCCGGAACAACCGTGGACATCTTCAAGAGAAAACTTGACTGTTTTCTAAGAGAAGTTCCGGATCAGCCGGGCTGTGGTGGGTATGTGGCCCTGTGGGCTGCTCCAAGCAACAGCTTGGTTGACCAAACTCTCACAAGTCGAGCCTGGCTTGGGGAGTAGAAGAACTCCCAGAACCCCATCAAGCAGGTACTGTACAATATAGTAAACTCCAGTTTAGTGGAGCTGCACTTTACATCACTTAAAGAGTGGGAGTGTGCAAAATTTCAAATTATTTTCAGGGACACAAATAAAAGCTTGTTTATTTTCATGCAGAGTGAACAGATACCAATTTTTTCTTATACTGTACCTGTATTTTGAAATTTAAAGCTAGGATCTTTCAATGTTATAATCAAAGCCATAGAGATAAGGGAATATACCAGAGGAAGATTGTAAGCAAGACTCGGGCAAGATGTTTATAGAGTGGGGTTGGTGCAGGCAGATGTGTGGTAAATGGGAAGAATAATCCTAGTTTGGCTGATGGAGAAATCAAGATTTACACGTGAATATAAATAATTCATCTTTTCTGGGACAGGCAGCCTGTGTATATACAGTACTGTTTATATATTTATAAAAAATAAATATATAAAATATATATATTTATACATTAGGCTGATATCAATATTCCGCCAATGTCGAACTACTGACCCTCCGCAGGATTCAACCTCACAACAGTTGACTAACTCCTGGGTACCTATTTACTGCTAGGTAAACAGGGGCATTAGGTGACAGAAAACATGCCAAACCATTTCCAACTGCATTCATGGACATCCATAAGAATTTTTGTTGCCTAACCTAATGAACATGATAACAGTCCTGACTACAGAACAACTTCGACAACAATGTATTTTTCAAATTTTGCCAAACCACCTGCTGACATTTACGTATATTATAATGTAGCATATTTTTCTCTGGTGGCATCTTCAGGTGGACATATCATAGTCTATACAATTGGACAAAAGTTGTATTTGGTCATTTATTCAGAGTTAAACATGAAACACTCATCTCCTGCTGATGCAAATACTAGATAATTTTGTCCATTTTTATAAGTATCTTTATGTGAATAAAGTAAGTACAGTATAGAACTTTTTACTTGTTTCTGTACAAAGTACAGTAATGTATTTAAAAATATGTAAAGTAAATGCTTTAGAAACTACCATTACACAATTTCTAGAAACACACGAACATCACACAAGAATGATATGATGTAAGCAGTTAGCTCTTGTGCCTCTTAATGTTGAAGGTCTTTCCATTTAGGGTCCATAAGAAGGAACAGCCATACATGTGCTTTGCCTGCGGTCGAGAGTTTTCCCACGTGTCTCATCTGCATCGTCACGAGAGGGTTCACACTGGAGAAAGGCCTCATAAATGTCCAGTAAGTGATACTGTAATATTGAGAGCTCACACAGGAGAAAGGCCTTAGAAATATCAAACTAAGTTAATGAGTAACAGCATGGCATCTTAATTAATAAATGGCTATTATTTTAGTAGCATTGGAAGGGCAATGTGAATTTAGATGAAAAAATATTGTGGTTCAGTTGTTATTCTCCTAATTCTGTAGATTGTAATCAAAGCTACACTCTAACTTCATATGCTACTAATATATTTATCAAATACAAGCACTGTGCAATTCAATCATCTCTCTGGTACTCTTTGAGTGGAAATAATAGCTTCATTACAGATAGAATGTAAACCTGTTGTAAGACATCAGAACCTAGCATCTTGGTCCAATAAATTGACCAGGAAAATTTAATTCAAGTAGCAAATGATAGAGGAAGACAGGTTGAAAATTATTTCTTAATCTAATTTTCTCTTGCTTTATTATAATTACCACCATATTATTTTTACAGTTCTGTCCCAAGAAGTTCATCCAGTTCGTCACTCTTAAAATTCATCTCAAAAAGCACGAGAAGAAAGGTACTGAAGATCTGGACATGATCACGGGCGATGCCAGGTTCTCCGATTGTGATGTGGGCATCAACTTAGCTGTGGAAGGAGACATTGTAAATAACGAGGGCACTGCTGTTGGCAACATGAGCAACGGCATGGGCAGCGGAGAGGGAGAAGGGCTTAACACAAGTAGAAACCCAGTAGATTCACTGGCTGTACACGGTGATTCCGACACTAGGCTCGATAGATCGGTGATGGGCCATTCATCTTCGGCAATGATGAGTTCGGCAACAGATCCGCCAGAATTATCTGGAAATCGGTTGCCGCCAGGTACAATCATACTAGCTCAGGGCAATCTAAATGGTACTCACACCAGTGGGCAGTTCAGCGGGGGGCACACAGCTGTTGTTACGGGTATGGATGGCGACTGTATTGCCATCTTTGTTCAGGAAAGCTTAGAGTGAAGCTAGAGTTGCAAGTTTGAATTATCAAAAAGTAGGTATGAAGATGACTAGACTGATGCAGTGTTCTTGCAAACTGTAAATAAATTCATTCCAATTTTATTTAAATTTGTACATTATCATTTGTGTATACAGCATTAAATTATTTCTTTACCATTCGTATATTTTGCATATATTATGCAGTGTATATTTTAATAAATATTTTTGTTGCCTCATTATTTTTTATCCTGATGGATATTACCCAGTAATGCAGTAAATACTAAAGTACACTTTATGACGAACTTAAATATATAGAACAGGCCCTTGCATAACGCTTAAAATGCAACAAACTTCCCCAAGCACAAGTGCTGTATGTCTCATAATCTTTAAACTCTTTACAAAATAGCGTGTTTCAGAAAGTGATCAAAGTACTGTACTGCAATTTGTAATAATGTTAGTAAAAACCTGCTTTAAGATACAATTAGGAAACGAGTGATAATGTTAAGTTCTCGAGAATGCAACCCTAAGATATAGTATAGTGCATATACTGTATATACAACAATTATTTTAATGCAACAGAGGGAAGGGAATGAAAGTACTGTAGTGGAAAAGCTGCCTGAAAGCAAGCAACTGGTATGATGACCAGACCCCACACTAGAAGGTGAAGGGACGACGATGTTTCAGTCCGTCCTGGACCATTCACAAGTCGATTGTGATGAAGTAAATGCAGGCAATAAATAGGCTAGAGAAAGGTGAGGAGCAAAGTGTAGTAGAGGGGATAGGAGTAAGAACTGCAGAGGGCCTATTGCCCATACGAGGCAGCTCCTATTAAAAGACCTGGACCATTCTCAAGACGGACCGAAATGTCATCGTCCCTTCACCTTCTAGTGTGGTCTGGTCAACATACTTTAGCCACGTTATTGTGACTTATCGCCTGCATAAGGAACTGGTATGTTGCCCATTAACTGAAAAACTTGAGTAAAACCTATAGAGGTATTAGTGTGGCCTAGTGAAGGCAAGTGATTATAACAAGTTTAACAGGAACTTGAGGTAGGTGGGTTTAGTAAGATTGTTTGGGTCAGATACAGATACTTCGCTAGAGAAGAAACATTATAAGGCATACTCATAATTCTTATTGTCAAGGACACAGGAATCCTCCACTTTGCCTTCTATAAAAGTTTTCCCTTAGATCGTTAAACTTTCAAGTTTCCCGGGATGCAGTCCACAATACAGTTGTAGCCAAACTCCCCGAGACATGTTTAATACTAGGTGACCAAGAGCATCAGGTGAAAGAAAACTTGGGCACCAAGGATTCCCATCTGTGAGTCAAGAACGTTGACCACTGTATTGTGGGATCCGTATAACGGAAGCGAGAGTTTGTGGAACGTCATTAAATTACGTAAAGAATTTATGTACGAGGAAAAGTTACAGTATTATAATGGGTGGTATAAAATATTTTGTTTACAAAACAAGCTGACATAAGAACATAGAGGAATATTTGAAAGTTATTTTCTTGAAGTTGAGAGATTTTGGGGCTTAGTGTCCCTTCAATCAGGCCTCTTATTTGTTACACCCTCCCAGGAAGCAGCCGTAACAGCTGTAACTCCCAGGTACCTATTTACTGCTAGGTGAACAAGTGCATCAGAGTGAAAGACTGCCCATTTGTTTCCGCCTCCACCGGAGATCCCATAACCTTAGGACTGCGAATCCCAAGCGCTGTCCACTCAGCCATCAGGCCCCCCAGGGGTTGCATATTCAATAAAGCCACTAACACACACTGTTTTGGGTATGATACCTCTGCATAATGTGCCAGGTTGTGTGCTGTTCCCATGGATGATAAGTGCATATATATTGGCATATGCATTGTATGAATAGTCGAAGTGAGAACACTAGGAAAAAAGTTAATTTCATGTATGATAGGAATAAAGTATCAGATTTGATGTATGCAGAAACATTAACAAAATTACAAGATGCATTTAGATCCAGTTTTTTTTACAAAAGAAGACTACTCTTTTTCATGGAAACTTATGGCAAAATAATAATGGAGAGTGAAGGAAGCTGTGTCTATAATATAAAGACTGTAAATGGAGAAATAGAAAGGGGTGCATAGTTCAGCAAATTGTAAGGTGTTTAAACAGGAATTTGTGTAGGAGAGAAAGTGCCTTTTATCTGTGGAGAATAAGGTCTGGCAACATGCAGCTAGTAGATTGCACGGAGTGGTAGTACATATCCTTATGTGTGGCGAGTCTGCCAGCGCCCCATCACAAGATACACCTGTAGACATGGACGATCAGAGATACTCTACTGGCTTTAGGTAATTATATGGAGAAAGCCCAAAGCCAGAATGTCTATATAGCACTTGCAAGGGATATAAGGGCAAGAAGCTGGGAAGGAGGAATGGAATGGTGCCTCAAGATCCCTTGGACCATCCAAGATCAAACGCTGACCTGCAGTACGCTCGCAACTCTCGCTGTACTACCTTAGTTAGGTTGTGAGGGTTGCTTGGGTTTGCACTTTGTACATGTTGGGAATTTGAAAGAACTGGCTGATCACAAATCCAGAATCTTTAAACAGAGTACTCAAATGTACATCAATATTAAATGTCCTTTAAATCTTATTCCTCAAAAGATTCAACAAAATAGTCTCTCTGATAAGGATACAAACACACAGTTTACTCTATTAACTTTTATTAAAGTAAATCCATACTCTTAGACAGTCTAATATTAGAAATCTGTTTTTATCCATAGAATCTCCAATTGAAGGCACACTACTAGAACCATTTTGGATGCTACAAAGCCAGATCAATTTCATAAAAATTTGGATCAAAACAGTCACTTGACAATCATTGACAATAGTTCCATGCTACTAATTCTAAATGACTTTCTGTTTTAGACTTGGAGATTTAGTGGTGTGACGACCTTTGTCTTCACTTTCAACTGAGGGACACCAAACAGTACAGGGGAAAAAAAATATATTGGTTAACAAAAGCAAAAGACCTTGTCCCTATTCAGATGCACGATGGCATATTATTACCAAATAGCAAAGAAAACAATGGCACCAGTACACAAAATAGTGGGCGAGCGTTCTAGGTCTCGGTGCGTGACGCGGACTCCCATCGGCACCAGTGGCGACACAAATTTCGTTGCAAGGAGACACTAATTGAATGCTCCCACTTACCCCAGCATGACTGAACTCCAACCCCCCCTCCCCCCCATGATGGTTCCGTCACACACCGGCGGATACTGTCACCCTTTAGTGTGGCATTAAGGTCATTGTCCCCAAAGTTTTAGTAGCAGTAACTTCCTAAATTAATTCATCTTACAGATATCTGGAGAATCATATTAGGAAAAGTTGGACTTGGAATCATTTACATGGAGTTTTCACTTATTAAATGAATATACAATTATTCCTTTTACAGCCGAAGCAAAACTTTTTAAAATATACATAACGAATGTTCCATAAAAAACTAAACATGTATAACATCTAAAATTATACAACTAAAAGTCAAGTCAACATTTCCAAAGAAACCCCTTAAAAGTATCCTTAAAACTTCCACTACGTCAGCCACTCCTACTTACAATTAGGAAAATAATGGCAGTGAACACTTGCAGAGAAGAAGCTTAGACATCTCTTACAACTCCAGTTTCAGACTCCTTATTTCTCTATTGGCACAATCATCATTATCAATTTACGTACCAAATTTGCCTGTTCCAACCCAAGTTTCCGCACATTCTTGTATCACTCCGTACACATCAGTGGTTTTAAAATCGTTTAATTAATGGATTCACTTTAATTTTTAACTACAACCCTATAGAGAAGTACCCATAGTTAGGGTATGGTGGAGCACTGTCTAAATGGCTAATACATTAAAATAAAATAAAAACATTTCAAATCAAAATTTATTATATACTCTCTTTATGCCAATGACATGGCCCCTCCTATAATTCTGGAGCAGCCTAATTTGGTACCCATGATTAGAAACGTCTAACTAGATCACACAAGTTACAAAAGAAAAGTACCTCCTTATTCAGAAATCTTTAGTAAGCCTTGCACATTTGCCGTTAAATCTTTTTGGTAAATTTTTACTTATATACGATGACAAGCATACAAAGCAAAAAATAAAAAATACTACTTGACCTTGTCAGACAGACCCGCCACATTAATTTGGTTTAATATTAAGCAACCAATACAAGAAAATCTAAAACGATAGGATCAAAAACTAATAAAAAAAGCAGACTCAGTTCCGAGCAAAACTGAATATAAGAATACTTACCTACCCAAAACTTGGGGATATGACAGCTTCAATTCTCTCAAAGACAGACAACTGTTATTGAAGCTGCTACACTTGTATGTGTCTGTCTGTCCTAAGAACAACACCCTCCTGGCAACCTTCCAGGGGCCGGAAAACACAACTCCATTCAGTGACTCGTCACACTAGCTAAACTATCCCCTCGTTTAGGAGAAGTTAATCCCCTCGTAAAGAAGTCAACCATCATCCACCAACCTGAGGGAAGCTCAGATTTTTGTCCAATTAAGTCGAGTCTGAAGCCTCCTTTACGACAAGTAAATTTATAAAAGCACTCCTATGACCTCCTCACACTTCTGCAGCAACACACGTGTCTACATAACTAGGGCACCACAGTTACAATAAACACTCGTCTTCTCCTTAAATTCATCTTTATACCTGTCTATACATTTTTATAATAAAAAGTAGCTCCATAGTAAAGCAGTTCAATTTAGCAGTACAACTTGATTCAACTACAAAATGGTGAAAAAGTCTTACCAGTAAATAGAAAAAAGAAAATACTGCCAAAATAAACAATAATACAATAGTAATCAAAGGAATGCCTTTAACAAAGCAAATCAATCGGGTCCTGAAATTCACTTCTTGCCCTATAGGCCTTATCAACATTGTCGGGATGAGACAATCCGCCTAGCTTAAGGAGTGCAGCTCAGAGAGGGAGATGGAGGTCGTTTGTACGTAACACTGTGGGGTGGGTAGGGTTGAGGGTGCGGGTGGTGGGCTCCATGCCACCCCTCGTCCCTCACATCAGGCTGCACCTCTCAGGAGAGCTTCCCGGGACACTTCTCTGCAAGAAAAAGAGGCAAAACACTGTTGACAACTTTCTACACCATACACAGCCCCCAATCACTCACTTTCCCCAACCCCATCAATGCCACATATATTGACCTAAAAGCAGCTGTCAGATTACACAATCTCCCTAGTCATTACCTTGATATTGCCACAGGGTAAAAACCAAGAATGTGAGTTTTTTTTTTTTTAAAGAGAATATGCATCTGAGTCTCATGGCATGAAAGCTGAGAGCTGGGACTTGGGTGTACTTCCTAACTCTACTTACGAATGCAGGAGGAGCTCTTAGGTGGTAGGTAGGTGGTTTAAGCGAGGATGCAACCAGTGTATAGTCGCGATACCTCCTCCTCTTCCTGCCGAGGGAAGAGAAAAATGAGGTCTTCGAGGACACGGAGACCTATTTGACCTGACCCATCAAAGAGGGAGAGCCCGAAAGTTAATAACAGTGAGGAGAGCTTCAGATGGATAACCCGAAGTGAAGGCAATGGGCCCCAACCTGACAGCTGCTCTCAGTACAATAGATTAGGCCAAAAAAAAAAAAAAGATTGTATGTATATATATATATATATATTGCACATATATATATATTGTGTATTTACTGTGTGTAATGGAGCCTAGACAATTCTCCACACTCCCACTCACAAACATGTAAACTCAAATTATAGCCACACAGCTGTGGTTCCATAATGAAATATCTATACGGATATATTTCAGTCTTGTGAAAAGTATGAAATATGGAGTCTTAAACCACTCTAAAAATTCTTTATATACAGGTTAAATAAGACAGGTTTTCGGATTTTTTTTTTTGGCCTAATAAAGTGGTACTGATACACGAAGTCAAGTCAACAGTACTGGAGGGGGCCGCATCAAACCCAAGACAATGCCACCACTGAAACTCACCAATTCAAACAATGGAAAATGTTGAGTAAAGTACTTTTTGGTTTATGCATCAAGATTTGAATGATAACGTATTAAAATTGATCACTCCAGTAACTTGACACACACACACACACACAGCAACTAAATCATATGACCCCGTGTATACACCCCATTTGTAAATGATCTAGGCAAAATTGTTTATTTATATATTTATATATATATGCATATGTCAATAGAAGAGCGAGTGAAGAGTTGAAGGTAAAAAAAGATCAAAACATTGTTTAAACTATAAAATAACACTATAGAGGAAGATTGTTTATGTATAGTGAAGAGGACAAGACCTGACGTAGTAGTAGTAGTAGTAGTAGTAGTAGCTAAAGCAAGGGAACACTTAACTGAAAAAATAGTATTAGAAAACTAAAATTATAAACTAGATTATGGGGGAAGGAGGGGCGGGAGTTATCAGGGGAAAGTGCCAAGCCCTTAGGACTGTACAGTATATAGTCCTGGGAAGGGGTCAGGATAAGGAGTAGGGATGGGACGGGTGGAAGGAATAGTGCCCAACCATTTGGACGGTCGGGGGATTGAACGGTGACCCGCACGAAGCGAGGCCGTCGCTCTACCGTCCACTCCAAGTAGTCGGGCAGATTATGAGGGAATATAAATACCTAACAAAGAAATCAAATCTCAATATATGGTAAAATTTACAATTCACAAAGAAAATAATAATTCACAACCCACAACATTTTGGCATTTTACTAGTGTACTGTGAAGTTTAATGCCTCAAGACAACCTGATTTTCCCTTTACTAACTTGAGGGAACGTGAGAACAAAACAAACCACGACAAATCTGCATCTCAAAGTATCTTCATCTTTATTAAGAAATAAATCAAAACTTTTGAAAGAATAATTTGCATTATCTGAAATATAACAAGCTTAAAAGCCCACTACATAAAATCAATCATAATAGGTTTGAAGGAAAGCAACAGAACATAATGCACACTACACTACAGTATCAAACAAATCACGGAGGATAACTTTGAACACTACTAAGGAAACACAGTAGGTATGCCTGGTGGCTACGCTGAAAATGATACAGTATGGTGATCGGTGGCATATTTAATCCCACGACCACACAAACCCAACACACACACACACTATTCACCCAACATTGGATTTGGCCGTGACAAAACTCTGGTAGAGAAACATTGCCGATAAATCAAATCTCCATCTAGCTTGGCACGTCTCGTTCCTGCAGACAGCCACAACCAAGGCAGCGAGCTGACAAGCTAAGCCATGCAACTGGCATGCACCACAACATACTACTGTACAGAGAATACATGGCCCGATCACGATTCACACCGGTGAACCGACAATTAACCCACTTCCAACGTGATTCCGTCTTACGATGACAGCATAGGTAATGTATGCATTAAGATTTTGCTTAACTCGTGCACTGCACATCACTTTTGACTAGCAGCGTGCATATCATAGGTTGTTTGATCAGCGGCACGAATTACATCATTTTTGACATCACAAGCAGCCGATGAGTCACAATAACGTGGCTGAAGATGTGATGACCAAACCACACACCAGAAGACGAGGAGACAACGACGTTTCAGTCCGTCCTGGACCATTATCAAGTCCACAATGACTCGACATGTTCGCGGGCCAGCGTTGATCGCTCCACCTGTCCAAGTGGTTTTGGGCGTTCCGCGGGAGCGCGCAGTAATACTGAAAAGTGTATACCCTTTTCAACTTGTCACCTTATTTCTTGTCCTAGGTTTTTCAATTTTGTATCAATGTGTTCGCAATAGAATGCTCTACAGGACTAAAAGCATACACACTCGAAAAGCTCGGCTTACCACCAACACCAAACGGAGAAAGCGAGAGAAAGTTACCTGGGAGTGCGCAAGAGCGATAAAATGTGTACACTTCACTTTGGTCACCTCAATTTTCATCTTAAGTCTTTCATTTTGGTATCAATGTGTTCGCAATAAAATTTCCAACAGGCGTATATGCATATAATGTCAAAAACCATGGCACACTCCACTCGCCAACGTGATGAAAGCAGGTAATGAGATCAGGGAGGAGTGCTGCGCCTTCTATTAGAGAGGGCGGCAATACTGAAAAGTGTATACTGTACTCTTTTCAACTTTGTCCTCTCAATTCTCATCCTAGGTTTTCCAATTTGATATCAATGTGTTCGCAATAGAATTCTCTACAGGATTAAATGCATATGAAGTCCGAAAGCCCGGCGTACCACCAACACAAAACAGATAAAGTGAGAGAAAGTTACCGGGAGCGCTAAAGAGCAATGAAATGTGTACACTCTTTTCACTTTGGTCTTTCATTTTTGTATCATTGTGTTCGTAATAGAATTCCCTACAGGAGTATATGCATATATAAAGTCCAAAAGTCCGGTGTACCACCCACAGCAAACAGAGAAGGTGACAGCTCATTACCTCCATGAGCGCTCATCAAGAGCAATAAAATGGGTTTACTCTTTTTAACTTTTGTTACCTCAATTCTCGTCCTAGGTCTTTCATTTTGGTATCAACGTATTCACAATGAAATTCCCTAAAGGAGTACCTGTATATGCATATAATGTCCAAAACTGCAGTGCGCCTCTCCCGCATCCAAGCTGAAAGCGAACCCAATTTTTTTTTAAACTTTTACGCCATTCTTCGTCATGAGTGGAAATAAGGTACTAAAATTTTGACTCCATACTTCATCATCAGTGGGCGAAAGTGTTAATAATGGTCCAGGACGAACGGAAAATTTGTCGTCGCCTCATCATCTTGCGTGTGGTTTGGTCATCATATATCACAAGTGGTTTTCTGTACACATTCTGTACACTACCTTGCAATATTTGGTACACGCTGGTACACAGTACACAGTGTTCCTAATCAGTATTTGAGGCCTCCAGTAAACATCTGCCATCTTTAATAGGGCTTGAATTTTGGGGGGACACTTGCTATCCTCATGGCATGGTTTTCAACAAATTAAAAGACAAACAATGTTTTGAATACCATTTGTTCTATGCTTACCAAGAGAATGCAAGTAACAAGGCAGTACAGCTTTATGAATTACTTCTATGGCTGACAAAGAAAACCCATAGCTGGCTTCATCCCATGTGTCAAAATTGTTTACAAAGCCTTTCTTTATTAAACCCCTGAACGGCACCGGTATTTACGAGTGCATCGAGGGGCACACGAGTAGAAAGTTAATAAATCAAACGGGGGGAAAAAAAAGACTCGCATACATTGACTGGAGCAGAGTTAGGATTCATGTGGACTTGGCCCCCCTAAGCTGTACTAAAATTTTTTTTTGTCTAGTTAGATCTCGTGTTTCTGTCTGGTCCTCTAGATACTGAAGATGTATGCACCCAAAAATGGCACCTGCAACTTGAAAATATATACTTGGCTTAGAGAATATTACTAATCTGAGGGAGGAAGTAGAAATCATGGTCAGTTTCAATAATTTGAGCTTTAGGTAATAAAAATGTTATTTAGTACAAAAAAAAAAAAAAAAAAAAAAGGAAAACATTTAGTTGTGAACTAAAGAACAAGGGCAAGCATAGGGATCCACATGGAGGAAAAAAAAAAATAGTTTCAAGGAGAAACGTTAACAAATATTTACGCTCAAGATTGAACATTAACATTGGCTACCCCAGTAAGGTGGAGTAGAACTGGAAATTAGGTAAATCGGCACGAAGCCAAAACACACGAATGGCCAGCTGGCGGGTTTCCAAACACGCCGCGTGCCTTCGTAAGTTAGTTTTCCTGTAAGTGACGCATTAATTCCTATCACACAAGACATTCGGGCCTCCCTTTTGATATTTAGTCAGCATATAACACACACTAATTGAAATTCACAGCCTTACATAATTCATCATTAAACCACTTAAAAGAAAATATACAATTTATATATAAAATATATATACATTAGTTATCAAATTGGTTTAAGATTCAGTAACAATTACTAAATAATGCAAAATTAAGAAAAATGCACAAAATCCATTTACCATCAATAAAAAAAATCTAAAAATGGTATGATTAAAGAGTTGGGTCAATGCACGTAGAACGGTTGTGTGGAGTCAGAAGATACGATGGTAATATGTGCTAGGTATGAGACCAGGTACCGGGCCCGTGGGAAGCAACACGCAAGACAATGTCCCTACAAGCAGATAACTTTCACCAATATGGCAAGTTCATTCCCACGCCCTTACACGCGCTCACATTAGTTGGGTTTAGCTGTATTAAAGGATTTCATGCACAATTCTAGGCAGTAGCATTAATGCATTCATATTACACGATGAAAGCCACAACAACAACATGAAACAATGAGTAAATATCAAGGCTGTATGACACAATGGAACCCCCACTCCTGATATTGCCTGGGTCCAGGAGGGGGGGGGGGGGGGGGGGGGGATGAGGGTTTGAGTCTATTGTACAGGCTCAATATTTCTTCA